TGTGCCACGCCTGCCACGCAAAGTGCCGCGGCGTCACAGGCGCCAAATCCGGGCCCAAGGGCGCCACCCAGTACCATAAGTGCCACGCCTGCCACGCAAAACGACGGTAAATGTGAGGTTGTGCCACGCCTGCCACGCAAAGTGCCGCGGCGTCACAGGCGCCAAATCCGGGCCCAAGGGCGCCACCCAGTACCATAAGTGCCACGCCTGCCACGCAAAACGACGGTGGATGTGAGTTTGTGCCACGCCTGCCACGTGAAACGAAGGTGGATGTCAGGTTGTGGCACGCCTGCGTGTGTGTGCGTGTGTGTGCGTGTGTGTGCGTGTGTGTGTGTGTGTGGGTGTGTGTGCGGGCCCAAGGGCGCCACCCAGTACCATAAGTGCCACGCCTGCCACGCAAAACGACGGTGGATGTGAGTTTGTGCCACGAAATGACCCATTTCACTTCACTGACTAGTTGTTGTGGATGTGAGTTTGTGCCACGCCTGCCACGTGAAACGACGGTGGATGTGAGGTTGTGCCACGCCTGCCACGCAAAGTGCCGCGGCGTCACAGGCGCCAAATCCGGGCCCAAGGGCGCCACCCAGTACCATAAGTGTCACGCCTGCCACGCAAAACGACGGTGGATGTGAGTTTGTGCCACGCCTGCCACGTGAAACGACGGTGGATGTGAGGTTGTGCCACGCCTGCCACGCAAAGTGCCGCGGCGTCACAGGCGCCAAATCCGGGCCCAAGGGCGCCACCCAGTACCATAAGTGTCACGCCTGCCACGCAAAACGACGGTGGATGTGAGTTTGTGCCACGCCTGCCACGTGAAACGAAGGTGGATGTCAGGTTGTGCCACGCCTGCCACGCAAAGTGGCGCGGCGCCCCGGCGCCAAATCCCGGCCCAAGGGCGCCACCCAGTACCATAAGTGGCACGCCTGCCACGCAAAACGACGTTAGATGTGAGTTTGTGCCACGCCTGCCACGTGAAACGAAGGTGGATGTCAGGTTGTGCCACGCCTGCGTGTGTGTGCGTGTGTGTGCGTGTGTGTGCGTGTGTGTGTGTGTGTGTGGGTGTGTGTGGGTGTGTGTGCGTGGGTGCGTGCGTGGGTGTGTGTGTGTGTGGACAAAGTGTGTGTTGATAAAGTGTGTGTGGACAAAGTGTGTCTGGACAAAGTGTGTGTTGATAAAGTGTGTGTTGATAAACTGCGTGTGGACAAAGTGTGTGTGGACAAAGTGTGTGTGGGTGTGGGTGTGTGTGCGTGTGTGTGCGTGCGTGTGTGTGTGTGTGTGGACAAAGTGTGTGTTGATAAAGTGTGTGGACAAAGTGTGTGTGGACAAAGTGTGTGTGGACAAAGTGTGTGTGGACAAAGTGTGTGTTGATAAAGTGTGTGTTGATAAAGTGTGTGGACAAAGTGTGTGTGGACAAAGTGTGTGTGGACAAAGTGTGTGTTGATAAAGTGTGTGTTGATAAAGTGTGTGGACAAAGTGTGTGTGGACAAAGTGTGTGTGGACAAAGTGTGTGTGGACAAAGTGTGTGTGGACAAAGTGTGTGTGGACAAAGTGTGTGTTGATAAAGTGTGTGTTGATAAAGTGTGTGGACAAAGTGTGTGTGGACAAAGTGTGTGTGGACAAAGTGTGTGTTGATAAAGTGTGTGTGGACAAAGTCTGTTATAAAGTGTCTGTGGACAAAGTGTGTGTGGACAAAGTGTGTGTGGACAAAGTGTTGGAGGGCGGGAGGAGGAGGAGGCGGAGGAGGCGGAGCCCGGGATACAGAATCAAAAACAAGAACCCCACACAAAGATGTGGGGAAAAAGGTCATTTTGTGGATTGACTCCTTGCTCCAAAAATCGGATGATTACCTGGTTTTAACATGTTTTAACTATATATATAATGGAAAATAAATCCTCTTCAGCAAATCCAAGTGATTTAAATTCGATCCAATCCATCAAATTCCGTTTTCCATTTAGTTGGAACAGCTTCAATTACTGTAACATACTGTAACAACCCCACCATGTTTTAGAACGGCAAATCATCATATATATATATATATATATAACTCATCTATAAATATGGCTTCCATAGCTATGTGGTTATTCACCAGAGGCTATTTGTTATGCCTCCCAGGGGCAGTTTTGAGCCCGCCTGTTCTAGTTGCCTTTCAGCATTACTGAGACTTTCCAGTTCCTTCTGTGCTTCTTTGAGCCATCGCCTGCAAACAGTCATGGGAAAAACAATGGAAAAAGGGGGAACAGAATGCTGCTAGAAGTGGAAAATACTGGAACACTGGATATCATGAGGATAGGACTATCATGAATCATGGATAAAATTAGACATGTGTTTTCCTATAAGACCATATATAAAACCTAGATAACCATGTATATAACATACATAAAATACTGATATATCATGGAATATCATGGATAAACAAACCCCATGGTGAGCCATGGATAAACATCCGATCTAAAAAGCTGGTGCTGAGCAGCAGATGTCTCGTCTCGAGACGTCTCGTCTCTATGATTTTTTCGGCCATCTGGAGCTATTTTTTCTATGAAATTGTCATGCTACAACTAAGATGATCTATAACTATAACTAATGGTATAACTATAGTTTCTGACATCTTGATGCCAGATGGTATATCTATAACTAATGGTATAACTATAGTTATAGATTTATAATTTCTGCTGATCTTGAGTTTCTGAAGTCCTTCAGCTTGATGTTCATCCACAGATGGAGAATTGACCATATCTGGATGATGATAGCACGAAAAATGATGCGGAAAAAACCAGAACTTCCATAACAATCCCATCCCCCTGGTATTCAATACCCCCCAGGAATGCATCCCCATGAAGAAATCCACTGAATCCACATGGATCATGGAGCAATCCAAAGCTGTGCCATGGTCAAGTTACTACACGGGCACTTGGGAATTCTTCGGGATCTAATGGATATAATATATATATATAAATTATAATCAATAGGTATAAATTCTAATAAATATATATATATATTTATTAAACCCACATATTCTATTGGGTATATAAATTTATTATACCCATATATTCTTCTAATGGGTTACACATTTTTAATCAGAATTCATTGATGACCATCCCCCACCGTGAGGATCCAATCCACCAGCGCGCCTGTGTTTCTCGGTTTCGTCTCGAATTCCGAGCCGATGATGATTGCACCTCAGGGAGCCATTGGTCAGCAGGCAACCGCTGTTCCTGACCTCGTGGTTTGTGATGTTTGTGCCCCCTTAAAAGTACTGAAATGTAAGGGGATTGAACAACTTTTATAAGGATTCTTGAAGAAATCCTGCTTATTTCCCCCTGTTGAATCCTATTTAAGTTACTTAAGTGAGGGATTCTTGGAGAATTTGGCATTCATCAGGGAAATTGATGGAAATTGTCCAACAGCCGTGACGATAGTTATATGATAATCTTCTGTGCATGTGACATGCCAACCTGCCAAAGTGGTCCAAAGTGTAAGATGTCATGAGCTCGTCGCAAATGTAGCCCCGGATCTGTGATTAAGGATTGGGAGGCTAAATTCATAGACGGCTCTGTGTGCTTCTGGTAGAACAAAACTTCTTGACATACTGTGGATGGAAGAAATCCTGCACCAGTTAATAGGTGGTTTAGTTTATCCCATTATTTATAGGTTTTCTGCCATCCCAGGTGGTGCAGGATTTCTTCCATCCACAGTAGGGTCCTCAGTCATGCCACACCTGCAGCACTTGCTCAATACGTTACCGGGGCTACTTAACGGGTTAGTAATTGGGATTACCCTCTGGTAATTTAACATAGCTATTGAACATGGCCATAGAAATAATGGATTTACCCAGCTAGAAAATGGTGATTTTCCATAGCTATGTTAAATTTCCAGAGGGTATACATCCATTTTCCTATGGTTTCCCTATGGTTTTCCTATTAAAACCTCCATTTCCTATGGTTTCCCTATGGTTTTCCCATTAAAAACATAAAATACCCATTTTCACTCAATAAATTGTGACATGTTATGAAGGGGATGAGCCACGAATCGGGGACTTACGGTCCCCCGTTTTTATTTTGCCCAGCTCCCATACCTCGCGAATCCAGACCATCCACAGCAGTTTGCGAAGGTAGCATTCGATCTCTTCATGAAATTTTCCAGTCATGGGGACTATCTAATGTCCAAAATTGCCAAAAAAAACTGTCATGATGGTTAAACCATGTTAAGAAATGATATTAGGCTTATATCAAAAAAAAAACATAATATATATGATATCATAATATATGATCATGTCCATTTTTTCAAATAAGATGATGATATCATGTTATTTATGAAATTTCGTGATGGTTATCCCTGGCCACGCCTTTGGCATTCACCATGAATCCGCTGGATTGCCACCTGCCAGGGATGTGGAAGCGGTGCCAATCTTTTTTACACCTTGCACTGTCTGAAATCCCATAAATATGTCTGGAAAAAATGGATTATCTATCATAAATTCTGAAAAAATGGATTATCTATCATAAATCACCAATGATAATCTAGATGTTCAATGATTTTCAGCCTTATGTTCATGGATTGGATCAATCATAAATCACCAATAAAATCCCATTAGCATCCCCATTAGAATCCCTTAAAATTCCATTGGAATCATCATCTGGTTGGTGGTATACCTAGCCCTCTGAAAAAAAATGAGTTCGTCAGTTGGGATGATGACATTCCCAATATATGGAATAATAAAAGTCGTGTTCCAAACCACCAATCATATATATATATATCATACAGTATATAATATATTAATATGCTCAAGTTGTATTCCAAAACAAAAGGACTGAACTACACATCCAAGGTTTCTTGATGAATGCCATGGATCGCTGTAAGGATTCCGTTTGCGGCCGATCGTTGTTGTGATCCGGAATAGGATTATCCAGTTTCACCATGGTTCATAAATCCCAGATCATATTCTTGGACAAGGTGACAATCCTATTCCGGAAGCCATGAAATGTTGATATTCACAATATGGGAAAGAATATGATCTGGGATTATATCATATTTTTCACAGGGTGATCAAAAACGTGTTTAAATAAATCGCCTTCCAAAAGCTATCGCGGAACCCAACATTTGGCCGCCAACAGACAGCGTGGCTTTCCATCACCATCAGTGGCCTAACCACAATAATTGGTTAGGGCACCAAAACCTCAACATCTCGATGGTCTGGTTGGTGGCTTCAACCTAGCCCTCTGAAAAATGATGGACTGAAAGTCAGTTGGAATGATGACATTCCCAATATATATGGACAGTCATTCAAAATTCCATGGTTCCAGTCACCACCAACCAGTTGTCCATTGTAAGTCCGTGGCTCACGGACGCAATCTTGACATCTGACGCAACTATCAGTGCAAATCCAATTTATGTTGCTTCAAATCCCAAAAACAGCTGTCGCAGCTCCATTCACCACGCTGTCCCCCGTCCATGGATGGAGCCCCGCAGTTCTGTGTGTTGGTTTAGATTCACCCCATCAACCACTATAGCTGGTTGGTGGTATACCTACCCCTCCAAAAAATATGAAAATCAATGGGAAGGATTATCCCATATATGAAATGGAAAATAAGAAATGTTTGAAACCACCAACCAGATAGCTATGCTTGCTAAGGCAGCAGCTCTCTCAGTCTGCGACTCCAGCCCTGTTAGCCAGCCTGGCGGAGCTGCATTGGCCGTTCTACCCAGATGCTTTCAGGCCTTGCTGGAACGCCACTTCTGGACTCCTGCCTGAGAAGCTGCCCGCTGCAGTTAGACTGCCTTCACGGCCAAAGTCTTTTTCAGAGGCCCAATGAAAAAGAGGCCCAATGAAAATGAGTCCAGAGAATTCTGAACTGCGGAGGGGTAGCCGGCAATGCCAAAAAGAAGCCGAGCGGCCGAGCGACCTCGGAGGTAGCTGCCATCTTCATTTCTTAAGTTGGACCGTCGCGTTCAGCCTTGCTGAACCACGATGAGTTGCGCCACAATCGGCACATTCGATCGAGCCCCAACAAAACCTTATAGCTCACTCAGTCTTATCCTCCGTTATAGTATTCTCCTCCATTAAGTGTTTTATCATGTTTTCACCATGAACCATGGAATTTACCCAAGTTATCTTCAACATCCGATTTCGCTGCAGGCTGCACCTGACGTTCAGTCATCTGCTCCTGTAGCAGTGCCGAATCCGTCAAGGCCTGCCGATGCCGAAAATTGTCTTTTTTGCCGGTCATTTTCTATATGTTTTGAGTGGGATATGTTTTGTTTCTATCTTTTTTGGGGGTTGCTAAACATATATAGACAGTTGCAGTAGTAAGAGGGAACATGATAAATGATGGGATTTTTCAGGGTACTCTATTTTCAGCCAAAGCTATGTGTCAAAACATCTGCACCCAACTAGCTGCTAGTTCTGATCATCACAGCTGACTTGTCCCCAGACCAATGGGGGATCATCATGAAACATTGGTGTTAGGGATTGCTGGAAGGGAACATCTACAGGAAAGCATGGCTTTAAATCCAAATATTGAGGCTTATTGTCCTATTGCAAGTTATTCCTTTTTCCAATCCAATGATTGTTTGGAATCGAAGACACATATGTGAAGAATGTTCGTGGGGTGGCTTTTTCAATGAATCTCACCCTTGTCTCGTTAGTTGTACTTGTTTCACAATCTACCTCTTTGGCTTTTTTTAAATCCTCATTTGGCCAATTAGGGGATGATTAGCTCATGTCAAATCCATTTCCTGTGAAATCCCCCGCAACTGGTTTCACCCCCAAAAAACCGGCTTCGCGTTGCGAGTCTTTTTGGGTTTCGATGATGACTGGAGCCCTGGGTTGCTGGTCATCGCTGCAACGATTCTCTTCGATGACCTTCACATGTCTAGGAATGCGTCAAAGAAACTCATTACCCTCTGGTAATTTGTTACATAGCTATTGAAAATGGGCATAGAAATAGTGGATTTACCCATTAAAAATGGTGATTTTCCATAGTTATGTTAGCTTACCAGAGGGTATCTCCAACATTAACCAAGATTTACGGAACCGATCAATGGCTGTAGATTTTTTTCTCCAATTGCCTCGAATTTCATTGGAGTTTCCAAAGAATTTCAGATCCAAAGATTCTATAGATACCTTTCTATGTGTTTCTTCCCGTAAGGGGCCCTGTAGTTATGTTTAAGTTGGTTTATAAACCTATCCCCCTAGTCAACCCAACAGTGATTGTACCTATTTTCACCAACTTGGCTATCGAACGGCGCCTCGTCATCCCACTATGTAGAGGTATTTCATGGTATTTCTGCGGTTTTGCGAAAATCTCCCATTCATATCCTAGTGGGATTGATAATCCTAACTATAAACCTAACTACGGGATAATTTTCATTATATGTAGTGGGATTGATAATCCTATTCATGTATAGATAATCCTAACTATAAACTTTTCAGAGAATATCAGAGAATTGTGCCATAGAATTGTCCAATGTTTTTCCCAGCTATATATATATATATATACCCTCTGGTTTAATTTGTTACCTAGCTATTGAAAATGGGCCAGTCGAAATAGTGGATTTGCCCAGCCACGTCTTCTCGCACCTGATCCAGATCCTCTCGCCGCACCGTCGCGGAGCTGAAGGCCTCTTCCCGCGCCTTTTTTACAATCGGAGATGTCTGTTGCTGGTTGGTGGGTTCAAGCATTGAATGATTGGATTGGTTTAAGGGACAATTTACAGGAAACCATAGATTTTCCCATTAAATATGGGGTTTTCCTGCAGATTTTCCCTTAAACCAATCCATTGATTGAACAATTGGATATCTGGTTGGTGGTTGAGCCTACCCCTCTGAAAAATATGAGTTCGTCAATTGGGATGATGACATTCCCAATAGATGGAATTGGATATGACTGGGATATATAATGGTATAACATATTATACTGGTTGGTGGTATACCTACCCCTCTGACAAATATGAGTTCGTCAGTTGGGATGGTGACATTCCCAATAGATGGAAAAATAAAAAATGTTCCACACCACCAACCAAATAATGGTATAAACTATTACAAATGGTATAACAAAAAGGGACCTATAATGGGATACGGTGGTATATAATGATGTAAAATGGTATCTAATGGTGATATTAAATGGGATATAAATGGGATATATACCATTATCATGGGATATCATGGAGTAGAATGCTAGATACTACTTTATATATATATACACATATATACATATGTTATAAATATCCGGGATTTTTTGTACAATGGGGATCTCCTGCTGGTTTCACGGAACAAAAAAAATCGGATTTTCGATAGGATCATAGCGCTGAGGTATGGAAAATTGAGTGACTCATGTGGTTAAAACAATGCCATACACTAGCCATTTTGGGGCCCCAGTTCGTTAGCTAAGTTGGTGAACATAACTATGTCATAACCATAGTTTATGATACGCAAATAACTATATAACTGGATGGGGTTATGTTCACCAACAAACATAACTGGAGGGCCCCATCCATACACACTACCCATTTTGGAATGGTAAACATACCAACCATGAATTTTGAGATTTTGGGGATGGTTTATGGCATTGTTTTAACCACTAAGTCACTAAGGTTACTGGGAATTGACCAGAAAAAATGGAGGAACAAAACCAACTATCTAATGGGGATATACTGATTGGAACTGGTTTGGATAACTATCTGTAACATCAGGGTGTTTTTCTGGTTTTCATGTTTTTTTTCATGGCATCAATAATATATATATATATCATATCTACATTAATGGTATATTAATTGGTATATACAAAAAACTAGGCTTTTGATGGTTTTTGGCCATTGAAATCACCTATCTCCATTCAACAAAAACCCATCAAGCTTTTTTTTCACGGTGAAAGCTCGGAACTGATCCTCAAGTTGGATGTGTTGATCTGTAACCATTGAAATTAACGGCCGTTAATTATGGCTGTTCTGGTTGGTTTGATCCCAAAAAATATGATAATATATTATATATACATATATTATATAGATATACAGTACATCAGATGATTGGTTTCATATCACCTTTGGGCTACTGAAAAAAAATAACACTAAAAAAACGTGCCTGTTTTTGGCTCGATATGAAACATCCCATTGATTTCCCCATACACCCGGAACGAGATCTGGAAGACCACCCCGAGGTCAATCATCTCGAATTCTTCAGACTACTTCTCCGAAAAAAAAACCTAAGTCCTAAAATAAAAAATGAGGACAACACAAAAAATCAGATGGCTTGATCTTAGAATTGGGCATCCCCAAAATTTCCAGCGGTTTTTGTCGTGGAGGGCCTCCTCTTCGGAAGCCAATTCGGATTTCAGTTTCAACAGCATCTCCTGGCGATGGCTCCACCGTGGAAATCGGGAAGTTTGATGGGAATTCATGGGAATTTTATAGTGCTTCAAAGTGAGTTCACCAACAACATAAGCTGGTTGGTGGTATACCTACCCCTCTGAAAGATATGAAAGTCAGTTGGGATGATGACATTCCGAATATATGGAAAAATAAAACATGTTTCAAACCACCAACCAGTAAGGATATTCATGAAATTGTCATGAAATCCTAGCCCATCAATCCATCAATCCCCTGTAGCTTGCCCATATATATATAGGTATAAGTCCCCAAATTTGGTACAGTTACTATTGACCCATCCCCATATCTGCCATATTGGTTTGTCTGCAACCAGTAGATCAACAAATCTCAGGTTCCAAGCAAAGAATGGTAGTGAATCACAGTTCATATCAGTTACCCTCTGGTAATTTAACATAGCTGTGGAAAATCACCATTTTTAGTGGGAAAACTCACCATTTCTATGGCCATTTTCAATAGCTAGGTAACAAATTACCAGAGGGTAAACAACAGCCACCAACAATGGGGTTCTCACCAAGCCCCTCCGAAAAAACACAGCAACAAGGTACCACGGATGCTTCGTGGTGATGTCAGAGGCCAATCAATGGAAAATCTGGTTTCGATGTCGACTGTGAATTTACGGGGTGCAACCTGTTTCAAAGTTTCTCCAAACAAAGCGTTGATGAATTTGGATAATCCTCATTCGTTTGGATAATCATTAATTTGGATTATGCTTTCATTCGAACTTGGATTATGCTTTCATTCGTTTGGGCAATCATTTTAAAGCACAAGCCTTCATCGAACTCACCACATAGCAGGGTAAACGATGTGGGATCATCGGAGCATCACATACAATGCTTGCTCATGGATCATGATGATGCCCCGCTGTAAGGGCTAGTATATCCCCCCCAATAATCATCAGCCATGAATTTTCAGTTGTAGTGATATAACAATGTTCTTGATGGTGAAGCCACCTATACATGATGATTAAATCCACGTAAACAACAAATATAGCCTATAGATGCCTATAGCCTATCAATCCCATTGAATAGCCATTAAATACCCACTATATATTCATTACCCTCCAGTAGTCAAACATGGCAATGGACAATCCACAATTCATAGTTGATTTTCCCAGCTATAAAGTTCCATTTTTGCGGGATATTCCATTGCTACGTGTCATTCCCGGAGGGTATTTGGCAGTCAAAACCAATCGGCACCCAGATGGTTCCCAAAATATGGCGCTGGTTGGTGGTTTTAACCATCTTGAAACATATTAGTCAATGGGAAGGATTATTTTATATATTATGGGAAATAAAACATGTTTGAAACCACCAACCAGTATAGATGTTTATTCCCCCAGTCATTAGTGGTAATTTCATAGGTAACTTGACCCATCCCATATGTTTAATTCATGCTGCCCTCTGGTAAACTAACAGTTTGCAAACTGGAAAATCACCATGGTTCATAGGTAAATCAACATAATCAGCTATTTCTATGGCCATGTTCAATAGCTATGTCAGATGAAATTACCATAATTTCATTACAACCACCATCCTTGAAGCAACTTGGATAATCTGATCCAGTGCCTCATCCTTCAAGGAGCGACTTTGTAAGACTTCCTCGGATGTTGATCTACCGCTAGTTCTGTGATTTCATGTGTTTTTTTTCCTAGAGGATACCCCAAGTCACCATGGGTGACTTAAAACTGTTTGGACTATGACAACTGGATGATTGGTACCTCTATTTTCGGAAAACACCATGGGATAAATTTACCTCTAAATTTAATAATAAAGCAGCTGGGGATGATTGATACAATCAGTAAAACATGTGTTTTTTTTATGCAATTTTGGGATGGTTTATAATTAACTGGGTTTACCACATTAGTCACCAACAGTACAAGAGATGCAATGGAGATATATGGATATATCATGGATATATGATATATGGAATAAGAACAGCCATTTTGTGGAGACGCCATGGAATTTAAATATGTAAGTACCATCATGACCTTAAACGGTTGCCTTATGGGAATTCAAGTCTGTTCAAGGCTCATGCATGCTTAGCCAACCTTTTAAATTATCGAACAATTCAAATATTACACATAATGAAATATTTTACCAACAATATAACCAAAGACCTCGTGAAACTTGATCGTTTCAATGAACATGTTTTACTTGTAAAAGAACGTACTTTACTTGAGCTAATTTTTACCAAAGCTCCGTTGATGCAGTGGACAGATGCGTTTTATCGACAAATCACTGCAAATCATTCTCCCAATCAAAATTTATATCAATTTCATTGTTTGCAATCGCCCTTTACAGCTGCACACAGCCCGTGAACGTCCCGTCAACAACCCGAAACAAGCCGTGAAACACCCTTGAACCATCCGTGAACGACCCGTGAACCACCCGTGAACCACCCGGGAACCACCCATGAACCACCCGTGAACCACCCGTGAACCACCCGTGAGACCAGTGTGTTAGAGACACAAAAAACTGGGTTAGAGACCCGAAATTGATTTTGTACCGTGAGCGACCCGTGAAACACCCGTGAACCACCCGTGAGACCAGTGTGTTAGAGACACAAAAAACTGGGTTAGAGACCCGAAAAACTGATTTTGTACCGTGAGCGACCCGTGAACCACCCGTGAACCACCCGTGAACCACCCGTGAGACCAGTGTGTTAGAGACACCGTTAGAGACCCGAAAAACTGATTTTGTACCGTGAGCGACCCGTGAACCACCCGTGAACCACCCGTGAACCACCCGTGAGACCAGTGTGTTAGAGACACCGTTAGAGACCCGCAAAAACTGATTTTGTACCGTGAGCGACCCGTGAAACACCCGTGAACCACCCGTGAACCACCCGTGAGACCAGTGTGTTAGAGACACCGTTAGAGACCCGAAAAACTGATTTTGTACCGTGAGCGACCCGTGAAACACCCGTGAAGCACCCGTGAAGCATCCGTGAAGTACCCGTGAATGATCCGGGGACGCTCAATGAACATGCATTAACGGGCAAATGGTTTCCATCTTTTTGCAGGTTCCCAATATCAAATGCAGTCTGTCATAGCACTATATGCATGTCTCTATGAACCAAGTCTCTCTCAAGATAGATTCAAAACAGTGATGTTGCTGAAGTGTTGACAGCAAGTGGTTAGAAGGATTTAGAAATGTGATCGGAGAGCGCAATTTCAAATGATCAAGTTAAACTTGTTCTTAACCAATGTGGACAGGTTAAACTGGTCTTTCGGGTTTGTAGGGAATATATGACATTGGTTCCGTCTCAAAATCGATGATCTACAAACAATTTTAATCATGTGTAGCTATTTTTCATAGGGTCAGTGATGACATGGCCAATGGAATTTCAGGCCCTTCCTGTTCGGCAAACTCATCTGATTCTGATTCGGGGATCACCCCAGGATGTTTTACTTGCAGATCCATCACCTCATCCTTAACTTCTTCTGTCAACGCCAGTTCTTCTGGGCCTCTCCAAACACCTGGAGTCCCGCTGTATCTTGACTTGGGTCCACTCCAAAAATCGACTCATGCGCCCGCCACCTCCGAGTCGGTGAAACGAAGTTCACCTATAGAAGTGGTGAGTGTTTGTGGGTGCACCTCGGTTTTAAATGGGATAATCCAGTTGGGCTTCGTTTAATGACTATGAGCTCAGAGCAATTTATTCCAACGAACCACGAGTAGGCTTAATACTAATTAGATGAACTAATCCATTAAAAGATTCAGAATATCTTGGGGGTGTGGGTGCCTGCCGTAGTCATTTTCATCATCCTTACAGCTAATCATCGATATAAAACACCTATATAGTTTATATTTAGCGTAATGACTACTCGTTCATCATTGTAGCTATGACAGTGATTAAAACTAGCTAATCATGGCAAGTCCCTATGGTTATTACAACAACTATAGTCATTATAATCACTAATTATAATCTACTATCATCATATCTCATAATCATTAGCAGCCCATTAAATGTAATCGTTAAATCACTATCATCAATCATCATTAGTCCATAATATGCACTAAAGATGTTATCCCTATATTTACAGAATAATAAGCTGAAATCATGTTGTAAAAATGCTAATATGATGTTGTAATGACTAACAAACATATCACTGTCTGTTTGGTGGTTTCAACTCCTCTGAAAAATATGAAAGTCAGTTGGGATGATGACATTCCTTATATATGGAAAAATAAAAGCCATGTTCCAAACCACCAACCAGTTGTCTCATTAACCACTATTAACCACTATTAACCATCATTAACCATTAATATCCCTTGAACAATCCCATTGGTTAATGGTTACCAACCAGTTAATATCACTATTAATATCCCTAATATAGTATCATTGGTTAATGGATAGTAATCCAAGGAGGGTTACTATAGTGATACCATCATTAGTTAATGGTTTCTAATAGTAACTAAAATAACTTAGAAAGTATAATTATTATCCATTAACCAATGATACTATAGTGATACCATCATTAGTTAATATAGTGATACCATCACTAGGATAGTAACTAAAATAACTTAAAAATCCTAGGGTTCTATCGCTACCCAGGTACCATCTCCGCTGTGATGGCGCTACTTCTGGTCGTCGAGGTCTGCAGCTGTCCCTGGCGGATTCCATCAATGGATACCCAAAAATGGATGGTTTATAATGGACAATCCATGTATGAATTGATGATAACTGGGGGGTACCTCTATTTTCGGAAGCCTCCATATCAAGATCTATATTGTAACTTCAACAGGTCATGATGTTTTGGTTTCAAGTAGATACTAAATATCAACTATATGATGTACATAATTGACACACACACAAAAAAAAACATGCACAAGTCACCGCAAGTTTGATGAGGACATCTAACCCAAGGATGGCTGACAACGACTGGGAACCGATTTGGGGGTTGAGCCCAAGGAACACACAAAAAATGTTCAGAAAGATATGTACCATGAGTACCATGGTGAAATGATGATATATGTGGTATGGTCATCCTTCCTATAAATGGGGATTTTCATAATGTCCATATTTTATAACTGTATATAATTCCCTATGAATGGACTCGTGACCATCCCCCAACATGGGTATCGGCAAATGCCCCATCTTTTGACCATGGCAAAGTTGGCACATATCACCCTTGTAGAATGGTTTGCTGCAACATCCGGCCTTTCCAACCACCTAGTGTAGGATTTCCAAAAAATCTATTGTGCTTTGTGGTACCATCTGTGGTGTACCATCGAATTTGGACCCAGAAATGGTGGTTTTAGCGGTGCTTTGTTGTCACCAACAATTTGGACCGTTGGGCACTTGTTGGACCCACCGAGGTCATCCTGTGCCATACGAGGTAAACCCTGTGCCAAGGCTGTCTCTGATTGGGGATGGTTACCAGATATACGACACAAAAAATCTGGTAAAATTGGGGGCGGGTCATTGATTATTGGCTAAAAATCGCATCCAAGGAAATTGTTTTGTGATAGACACTTAAACAATCTTAAACATACTTCAAGTATAAACGGTGGTCCTCCATGTTTGTTGGCGGAGACACCGGGGTCATTAGTCGATCCACCTATACTGCCAATACATTCCTACAAGGTGGCCTCCACAACTGGCTACGTTGGTCTATAACTCACTATGGCATGGTTTATGGTAGATAGATTTAATAGTACATGGGGTTTATAAACCAACAATTTCCAAGGAACCATACTATTCATAAACCAACAAACTGAGATAGGGGGGTACCACCTTTGTATATCTCTCCAATTTTGCAGATGTCTTATGAACGAATCCCACTAAAACCACCATTTTTGGACAGCTTCTTTTGGCCATCTCCACACAACAAAAGGGTACATCATAGGGGGATGTAACCAACAAAAATGTTGATTTCACTGGAATTTTCATGGGAAAACAACGAGGGGTATTTTCCATTAATCTGGATGTTGGGGATGAAATGTTGGTTCTATCATGTTATATCCGCACGTTTTCAGCCTGTCGATTCCCACAAGGACCTGCAAACGTCGAACATCCTCCAACATCTGCGGTTTTGACCTTGGCAAGAGGTGTGAAGCGGCTGTGAACACCATTCCTTAATGAATTCCATGTACACGATGTTCCAATGGGATTTTGCCCATGCTTAGAGCTTAAACAAAAACACATTGGGATACCATTAGCAGAACCTATCTCAGTGACCTTTAGATCCTCTGATGACAGTGATTTTTTCAATGAAAGTTTATGCCACACCCATCCAAAACAAACCTATAGCTACAATTTGCTACAACCTTTAACCAGTCAACTGAATGGATTGTGATCAACATTGGCCCCCTCCTGAAACAGGACAAAAATGATCAAACATTGACAAAATACAAGGTGGTGCCTGCTATGTGTGGTGGTTGATCACGAACAGTAATTATACATATGATTTACTTACCAAAAAAAATCGTTTAGATGAGTCCAGTTATAAGCCAATTGAATTAATTATGGGACACAGCCTTAAACAGGGATGTCGCCAACATGACAGGGTCAACAAAACCGAGTCCGCCCAGGTGACCCGGACAGTTGCTGCCTGCGCAAGCGACCTTGGGCCTCGCCCATGCGGGCGTGTTCCGTCCGACCTGAAGGCCATTGTGAATTGTTGTGGCAATCAACTCTTCCGGACTGCGGGTTTTAAGACGCTCAGAAAAACTGGGGTGTCCATGTTGTCGCTCACGCACACCACCAATCTGTTCTGGCCATGGTTTTTGTAGAAAAAACTGCGCCCTTCAACTGGGCCTTTCGGAACCAAGGGGGGGATCTTGGTTCCCCAGCAGGTCTCCTCCAAAAGGCGCTTGCGGTGCACCAACGCCTCCGATTTGACTCGGGAAGCAAAAAGAGGCGACGGCGACGGAAGCGCTTTAATTTTTTGAATGTCAACGGGTTGACCTAGGTTTGATATTGTGGCCGGATTAATGGGTATAGACGCATCGGACTTCTCGTGGCCTAAGAGCCGTGCTGCCAATAGATTTCCACCCGCCTCTGCACATGCAAGATAGCCCTTCAACAGAATGCAGGCAACGCGCGCATAAAAGTATGGAATGGATTCGTCCTCTGTTGCGTCGGACGGTGAGAGTCCGCCTCGGGAGCCTGATTTGAGGTGCAACCCCAATTCTTGAAACTTCGGCTTCAAGTGTTTGCGACATTAAGGGGGATACTCTCACTTAACCGCGACCAGCAGTAGAACAGGACATGTTTGAATCTATATGGTTTTTGGTGCACAAGCATCGCTCAAGATAGCCCTTAGAATCTCTCTAGCAAGAAGTCCAAAATCAATCTATGAGTCATGAGTAGCCCTTCCCACCCGAATCTTGTGCTACTACCAAAATTTAAGACTTTATTAAGTGTAGCAAGGGACCCGTAGTGCACCGATCATGCAATGGAAATCCGCGCGGCAACTGTTGAAAGGTTCCAGGATATTATATATATATATATGTTTAAGTACCTGAACTCTCCAATGACCCTTTCCATTTAAAAATTCTGAAAGGGTGCTGGCCCTTTTTGTCGCATCGATGCACCTTTTGGAGATTGGATCAATGCTGAAAGGACCTGAAGGGTCCAAGTCTAGATGTCTTCAGAGTATTCTTTTGGATAAGTACCATTATCAAAAAAGTACTCCGAAATGATATCATACAGAATTTTTTTTGAAGTCTATCTTTTTTTCAGACAGATCTTTTCAGATGTTGTCTCTTGGGTCGAAAAGTGGCCCCGAAAAATCATGTCAAATGGACCCTCTGGACCCTGGTCAGCGCCGCAGGCGCCTTTGAAAAAAGTGCCTGCGCCTTTTGTGATTCGAGAATGGCAAAGAATGAAGCTCTAAAAAAGTCGGCTTAAGAAAGCGCAGAGAAACTCTTGGTATGTGTAAAAAACAAGTAGATTATAATAGTACAACATTGAAAAAGACGCACATTCGAAGAAACCAGGTATATCCAGGTATATACATTTAGTCACTTTCGCATGATCTTGTGTTCTATCACTCGGTGTAAGCCGCGCTTTGATTTTGGGAGTTCTTTCATCTCTGACTTGAAACCAGCCGCTGAATACTTTTGGCGTGCTACGGTGGATGGTTGCGAAATCCTGCGCCAGTTGATAGGTGGTTTATCCCCTTATTTATAGGGTTTCAACCATCCAAGGTGGTGCAGGATTCCTTCCACCCACAGTATCTTGCAAAATGTTGGAACATGGGTAGAAGTCGTTCAGATCCTTGAAGGATCTTGAAGGAATATATCAGCATGCTCCACAATTTGAGTTCCCACGGATGATACTCTCATAGAACCGATATGAACCAATCAGGTGAAGGCTTACTTTGCTTCACATGAATGCAAGCGTGACGTTCTGATAATATATGATAATAAGGGGGTTTCCTGGAATGGGGGCACCGCAATAGCTGGATGGTTTGTAATGGAAAATTCCCACCAAAAATTCATGAGAACTGGGGGTACCCCTATTTTAGGAAACCTCCATTTATGATAATATCATATATAAATATATAACCCATTTTCCTAGCATTCAGGTGTTGTCTCATTACATTCAGGTGTTACGTTTGCGGTTTGACTGAGACGCAAGGCAACTGCACGCATGTTTTTCGTTGCTTTTTACAACACAGTGATGCTCTGGATTTTGCATTCTATGGTTTGCAAGGCTGAGCAAAGGTGCACCAAGTACAATGTAATCTTCAATCAAGCGGATGTTGATAGGTTATATTGCATTGGTACTGTGTGTCTGCGCAATGATTCGAATAATTGTGCTGCAATGATCTGCAATGATGGTGTTGGACTGTTTGCCATTGGCACTGCCATGATCAAATCACAACACTTTCAAACAATGACGCTTATCACGAAACATAAGCCGATAGAAAGATTGACTGGCATGGTTTTAATGATCAAAAAAAACTCAAATTCAAGCTTGGCTGTATGGTCTTTACACGGAAAACCGGTATGGGCAGCGCATGACTTCAAAGCATGTTCTTGCAGGGGCGTCCAAGCGTCCCGGCACCCGCGATGATAAAACGCAACCCAATCTTTCACCATCTTTGGCGCAGTGAACAATACGGCGCATTCGGCATTTCAGTAGTCAATCAAAATCAGATTTTCATTACCAGGACATAGTCGCGCCCCTGCAGGTTTGCATTGAATTCATGTTCCTGCTGCTGTTGTCCCCTGCTATTCAAATTACGTCTATTTCGTGAGCCTATTTGCAAAGTGTTTTACTTTGAAAGCTGTGTCATTTTTGAAACAGACCATGCAGCCAAGCCTGAATTTGAGAGTTTTTGGTCATTAAAACCATGTCAGTCAATCTTTCTATCGGTTTATGTTTCGTGATAAGCGTCATTGTTTGCAAGTGTTGCGGTTTGAGCGTGGCAATGCCAATGGCAAACAGTCCAACATCATCATTGCAGTACAATTTGTTCAATCATTCCACAGACGCACAGAACCAATGGAAAATAATACATAACAGTGGAATCTATTTGATTGAAAAATACATTTTACATAGTGCACCTTTGTTTAGCTTTTCAAACAGTAGAAGTGCAAAATCCAAAACATGACTGCGTGCAGTTGCTCTGCTGCAAACATAACAGCTGAACACAATGAGACAACAGCTGAATGCTAGGAGAATGACTTGTATATTATATATCTGGAGGTTTCCTTCATATATCTTTACCCATATATATATATATATTTATATACCTTATCATGTATATATATATATATATATATATTGGTAGCCTATCTGGATTTGTTGTTTAATTCACCAAGCTTTTCAAAGTTCAGCCAGGTGATGATGGTTTCCCCCGGTTCCCCCTTTCTCGGCGGAACCGAAAACTTGTGGAGCCTAGCATCAGAGGGCTTGGTATATGGAGGACCATAAATGGCTCAATGCTGGGAAACCGGAAACAAACATGAAAAACCGATTTAAAACAGGCCAAACATCAAACAATCCTTGTCGTTTGGTACTATCATGTACTATCATCTTCATTTCTTGTTCAGTTTTCAAAAGCAATGTATCAATATCTGCAAGAACCATCCAAACAACGTTGGAAGAAATGAATTTGTCTGAGCCTAAACTACCCAATATTTTTGATGGTGAATCGTGAATTGTCATTTTCCCCCAATTTTAGATTATATTGTGGAAATCAATTGAGGATACACAGGATATCATTTTCAACCATTGGCTACTTTCAGGGTCTCAAGCTGTGTCGGAACGTCATATATTTTCCCAAGTCACAATCCATATGTTTCTCATATTTCATCATATTTCATGGCCATATTTATGGCCTTATTTTTGGTTGGGCCAATTAAAATTGGCCCAACCCCCAAAAAAAACGAAGCTGAAGAGAAAACACCAGCGCCTCTGTCTCGGCTTTGAGACCCATAACTTCCTCTTTCGAGATCATCTCCTTCTCCACGACCTGGCGCCAAAGCACGGTTCTTCCTATTGAAGTGGGGCGCCTGTGCGCCGTGGGGAAAAGATGGGGATATCATGGGATTATATGGGATTATATGGAAGTATATGGAAGTATATGGGATTGTTTAAGGTCAATAAAGACTGGTTCAATGGAACACCGGAAACCCATGGTGACTACATGAGTTTACCACCGAATCCAGAGGTGTTTCTGTAAGATTTTCCACCATCTAATTCCAAGTTTGTTCACTTCCAAGTCTGAGTCTGGGCCCACAGAACCCAAACTATTTGATCTAACTTCACCATTTAAGAACGGTGCTAAACATTGGAACATAAATAGGGATAGAATGGGATGTGGGCGGTTTAACCATCAATGTCATGGTGATTTCAGTTGGAAAAATATGAAACATGTATATATATATATATATTATAACAGGATACATGGATCTCAAAGTAGATGGCTCAACTCAAAAACCAAAATACCCATAAGATGGCACCGCGCGCTGAGAAAGAAAACGGCGCTATTTTAGCTGGAACATAAAACGAGTTCCGCCAATTGAAGAAACAATCACCCTACTTTAAAATGAGAAGGTAGATGGCGCAACTGCCACTCCAGTAGATGGACATAAGGGTATTGTTAACTAAATTTACTACATTTCCGATCATTTTTGCTTGTATATACGGTGGAATTGCACAAATTTGTATTGTATAAAATGAGTTGCGCCATCTATGTCCCTTGAATCCCATTCCAATGCCAGATTTTTTTTTCGATGGGTTCAAAAATGAATTGCGCCATCTACTACGTTCCTTAAATCGCATTCAAATCTTTCAAAATTTCAGTGCCACGCCTTAAAAATGAACCACTGAAGGTTTTAAAACTGATTGTGGACAGAATTTATGGATAGAAATTTCATTGTTCAACATATTTTGACAAACATATACTGGAAAAACACTTTTAAAATTTCATTGCCATACCTTGAAAATGAGTTGCGCCATCTATGTCCCTTGAATCCCATTCAAACGCCAGATTTTTTTTCGATGGGTTCAAAAATGAATTGCGCCATCTATGTTCCTTAAATCGCATTCAAATCTTTCAAAATTTCAATGCCACGCCTTAAAAATGAACCACTGAAGGTTTTAAAACTGATTGTGGACAGAATTTATGGATAGAAATCTCATTTTTCAACATATTTTGACAAAAATATATTGGAAAAACACTTTTAAAATTTCATTGCAATACCTTGAAAATGAGTTGCGCCATCTATGTCCCTTGAATCCCATTCCAATGCCAGATTTTTTTTTCGATGGGTTCAAAAATGAATTGCGCCATCTACTACGTTCCTTAAATCGCATTCAAATCTTTCAAAATTTCAGTGCCACGCCTTAAACATGAACCACTGAAGGTTTTAAAACTGATTGTGGACAGAATTCATGGATAGAAATTTCATTTTTCAACATATTTTGACAAACATATACTGGAAAAACACTTTTAAAATTTCATTGCCATACCTTGAAAATGAGTTGCGCCATCTATGTCCCAAAAAGGCAGCTTGATGTTGAGAAAAAAAATGGGGGAAACCAGCGCGGTGCCAATTTTCCAGTTGGGTTCGCCCCGGAAAACGGACCCCACCAAGTGTCAAGTTTCCTTTGGGAAACTCACGAAAAAACTCTTTTTCGGGGAACTTGGTGGGGTCCGTTTTCCGGGGCCAAGCAAAGTGGCAATTGCCAGAGCGTAGAGCATTGCAAAAAATATGTCTTTTTTAGGGACATAGATGGCGCAACTCCCACTCATTCGCCAAAATCAGGCTGGGAATGCCCACATAGATGGCGCAACTCCCTCATATCTCCCGACATCCATCAACCAACCTAACCAAAATATGCCACATCGATCAGAGTTATGCCAAGACAGGAGGCAAAACCACCAGGAAACACATCAGAGTTGTCCCAGGACAGGAGGCAAAACCACCAGGAAAGACATCAGAGTTGTCCTTTTTGGGACATAGATGGCGTAACTTCCGTCATTTTGCCAGCAAAGGTCGAGACGCTTTAAAACCCAATTTTAACAAGTGACCTGAGGAACCGTCTTTGCCGTCAAGAAACGGTTCCTCAGGTCACTTGTTAAAATTGGGTTTTAAAGCGTCTCGACCTTTGCTGGCTCAAAACAACTTCTGTCATTTCGCCAAAATCAGGCTGGGAATGCCCACATAGATGGCGCAACTCCCCGGGAGTTGCGCCATCTATGTCCCAAAAAGGCAGCTTGATGTTGAGAAAAAAATTTGGGGAGAAACCAGCGCAGAAGATTGCAACAAATATGTCATTTTTAGGGACATAGATGGCTCAACTGCCCTTTTTTAAAGGGAGTTGAGCCATCTATCCCCCATTTTTTTTTTGACATAGATGGCGCAACTCAAGATTCCGCGCCATCTACTTTGAGTTACGAGTATTATAACAGGATACAATACAACATAACATATGCTACAACTAGTCGATATATTACATCAAAAGCTCAGTGGTGATGGCTTAACCAGCCCTGTGAAGAACAGCCAGGTCAGTTGCGGGATCATCCCGTTCACCACCAATTCTTGGCCCATTTGGCACAGGACTTCCAGGGACGGTCCAAGCATGAGCCGTGAGTTGTCAAAAACAGCCCACTTGACTTACCCTCTGGTAAACATACAAAAGCTATTGAAAATGGCCATAGAAATAGTTGATTTACCCATAAAAAAAATGGTGAGTGATTGTTCATAGTTTTTTGTATGTTCACCAGAGGGTAAGTAGCAAAGCTCGTGTGAAAACACATTTTTTGTCAAACATCTTCTGACCACACATTATTCATTACGGACTGGTATGACAACAGTGATGAAGACATATCTACATCTACCACCAACTATTAGTCCAGAGTATGATCCCTAATTATTAATCCATTGATGTTGAGCCACCCCTCTGAAAAATATGATTTCGTCAGTTGGGATGATGATATTCCCAACTGAATGGAAAGTCATACCATTCATGTTCCAAACCACCAACCAGATAATGGTATAAACTATAATGAAGGGTATAAAAAAGGGACCTAATGGGACCTATAATGGGATATAGTGGTATATGATGAGATAGAATGGTATCTAATGGTATATAATGGGATATTAAATGGGATATAAATTGGATATATACCATTATAAAGCCACATACCAAACCACCAACCAGATATTCATCTTATTTCATCTTATATCCCAGCTATAGATAATGGAACATCACCATTTTTCATGGGTAAATCACGGTAAATCCACTATTTCAGTGGTGATATTCCACTATTTCTATGGTGATGTTGGATACCCATTCAACTCCGGTTGGATTCCGCGCCTCGGTCACCGTCAACTCCGCCTGTCGGGTCTCCTGACTTCGACCCAAAACGAAACGGACCCAGAAACACCACGGCGAACAACGGCGAAAATGCTGGATTTTCACATGTTTCCACCAAGGAAAATGGCGCATGTCTGTAATAAAACATCATAAAACTGGACATGTCTCTAACTAAATTGAGATCTTGGACGTTTTTTAAAGTTACTATCATGAAATCGGGGCCCTGACCAAGTAAAGACCTACTAAAAAAAACAACGCCGTGTTTCTGTGGAATGTTTTATCAGTCAATGGGGCTCGTCATCTCAACTTCGGATGGGTTTCAACAACCAACATATATATATATACATATATATATATATATATATGTAGCAATCCACCAACAAGTTAGTAAAACTCTATACTAAAATAGTGATGACTTAATTTCATGCATCTTTTTGGGAAGATACATACGTCTTTTGTACGTTTGATTTAGGGTAGCTGAAAAATAACTTGTTTTTCATATGTTAAATAAACAAAATAAGTCGTCTATAAACGGGCCATGTTCATCCATCTTCCATAGCCATGTGAAATCAATATGTATATATATATAATATTATATAATTACATGATCTGGAACGGTGGTTCTTGACATACACATTTTTCTTACCAAACATGGCAAGTTCTGTTGACTGCTTCATCTTCATTGGCACCTCAATCTTTAAAAAAAATGGTTCATTCTGGGCTATGGTTCGAAACGACCATCATGTTGCGCTGGTTCTACAATGTGGGTCCAGTGGCGCCCTCAGCACTCTCTTTTCACCATTGATCTGGGCAAATGATGTATACTTCCCACATCTAAAAGATCCATTGGGGGATAATCCACGCAATCCTAGCATATGTGGAGAATCCACCATTAATGCAGATCATTTTCCGAACGGCTTCCCCATTGGTTTTCCACTGGAGTTTTTCGATGTTTCCGGGATCACTTTCATCCCATGATTCTCCATTCTATCATCAAACAACTAGAAATGACTACCATAACCCCCAATCTCAGCGGTTTCCACATGTTTCCACATGTTTCCACATGTTTCCACCATTCATGAGGTTCCCTAAGCTGGATTTTCCACATCTTGGTGACCTCAGTCTGCCCCTATCACACCTCGCGTGCCGCAAGGGTGGCCACTTCTAAACGCCTCCTGGCCATGGGTGATTTTGATTTAAAGATCCCGTGATTTACCGGGATCTATATGGGTCTGTGTGAAACTGGGGGATAACCCAGCAGCTATGGTGTTTTTTTTTAATAGGGAAAATGCTGATAAACCTCAAAGGATTCTTCCCCACCTGCCAGGTGAGGGTTGTTAGATTTTATCAGAGCGCATGCCCGCCCGCCGCCTCTTCCTCCTCCTCCTCCTCGACTAGCTGTCCTCCTCGCCCTCCTCCTCGCCTCCGCCTCTTCCACCTCCACTTCCGCCTTGCCAACCTTGCCAACTCGTCGCCAAGCCAAGCGGTTCGCCAACTTCCCAGCTCAGTGCGCACTGCTGGACCTCAACCTGCGAGCTGCCCAGCTCAGTGTGCACCGCTGGACCTCAACCTGCGAGCTGCCCAGCTCAGTGTGCACCGCTGGACCTCAACCGGGGACCTGCCCAGCCCAGTGTGCACCGCTGGACCTCAACCGGGGACCTTCCCAGCTCAGTGTGCAGCTGGACCTCAACCTGGGACCTGCCCAGCTCAGTGTGCACCGCTGGACCTCAACCTGGGACCTGCCCAGCTCAGTGTGCACCGCTGGACCTCAACGGCCAGATAGAATGCCAGAAGATATTATGCCAGATGGAATGTCAGATAGAATGCCAGAAGATAGCCATGAGATATGCCAGATAGAATGCCAGAAGGTAAGCCAGATAGAATGCCAGAAGATATGCCAGATATAATGCCAGAAGATCTGCCATATAGAATGCCAGAAGATATGCCAGATAGAATGTCAGATAGAATGCCAGAAGATATGCCAGATAGAATGCCAGAAGATTTGCCAGATAAGATGCCACAAGATATGCCAGATAGAATGCCAGAAGATATGCCACAAGATATGCCAGATAGAATGCCAGAAGATATGCCAGATAGAATGGCAGAAGATTTGCGAGATAGAATGCCAGAAGATATGCCAGATAGAATGCCAGATATAATGCCAGAAGATATGTCAGAATATATGCCAGATAGAATGCCAGAAGATATGCCAGATAGAATGCCAGAAGTAAGATTTGCCAGATAGAACGCCAGAAGATAGGCCAGAAGATATGCCAGAACATATGCCAGAAGATATGCCAGATAGAATGCCAGAAGATATGTCAGATAGAATGCCAGAAGATTTGCCAGTAAGAAAATGTATAAATGTCATGGTGGGGATCACACGAAGTAAAGTAATTTTGGAGATACCGTATAGTTTCAAACACAGCCATGTATCTCGAGAGCTTTCGAAACCTTAGGGGAAGCTCAGAGGGAAATTCATCCCAAACGCCTAAAAAGCTGCCGATACACCATGCTGATACGAGGTACGAGTAGTGAACGACGTCAGAGGCGAATAAAGTGCACAGTTTGCCGCTTCCTCAATTTTTAGGGATCCTGTTGATGTACACCAAACCGTCGTCCTCAAGATTCTTTCTCAATTCCTCTTTCGATATGATGCTCAGCGCGCCTTTCTTTGTAAGGCGGATCCCGTACTTCTGCGTTCCCTCCACAACTTCTTTATTTTGGGTCTTTTCTTGGTACTTCCACAACGATTTCACTCCTTGCAGCAAACGCACTTGTTCCATAGGTCCACAGATCTTCATAGAATTCATCGAAACTCAGCACATCCGTAGCCCTTGAAATTTCAAGTGCATTGTCTCGCATCTCTGTGAAAGCTTGCGCCAGATCTTCATGATACTGTTTCTCTGTCCACTCTTGCTCCACTGGATCAAATGACCTCTTTTCAGGAATAGGTTGCGTTCTCTCTTGTACTTCTTCTTTTCTCCCATCAGAGAAACGACCACGCCCCATCAGCACATGATACTGAAATGCTGGGCTGATGCTTTCCCAGTGATTGCACCTGGTGCTTTTCCAAATTATTTTGGGATCATTCCTCTATACATTCACCATGATTCCAGAGAGGTCACGACGTGTCACGAAAAAACATGCCCGGGTGGTGGATGGGACGGTTGAAATCCCACCTGGTGGTTGAGCCCTACCCCTCTGAAAAATGATGGAGTGAAAGTCAGTTGGGATGATGACATTTCCTATGGAAAAATAAAAAGTTTGTTCTAAACCACCAACCAGTCATGGTATTGAATAATAAATGTGGGATTTCAAGCAATCATCCATTTTTGGATCATCCATCAATTTTTATCCTCAAAAATTGATGATTTAATCATCCCACGTGGTATTGAATTATACTAATTATATACTGAATAATATTGAATCATCGATTTTTGAAGATAGAATTTCAGAATTCGCCAATCTGAACAGTTCGGCTATTTCGGATCTTTTTTGGGATAGCTACCCCAATCATCATTCCAGTGAGGTCAAGTTCATCCAGCATGATCCATCTGAGCCAAGATGCGCTATGATTGGAAACACGTTTTTTTTTTCCTACCATATTGCATGATATTCACTGGCTATCTTATCAAATTGATTGCATGTTATCACCCTTGGGTCAGATCGGGTTGACGACAAAGTCTTGTACATATAGGAACTCAATGTTTGACTGGATTACAATTGATTTGGAACAACCAGCCCTACACCTTGTGGGTCTGATTATTGCATGACTCAATGACTATTTGTTCGTACCACGCACGTCACTTATTGACCTATTGACCAATCACGAAATGTTTTGATTATCCTACGGCTGTCTGACAGCTTGAAAGCAGCATTAGTTCCGGATGAGGGGACACTGAGACGTTTCAGCAAGTGATTGGCAATGATATCTGAGCCATCATCCCATTCCCCTAATGCATTTTCATTCCCCTAATCCATCCCCATATTTCATATAGATTCCCCAGTCGAGGTGGAGTTCCCATTGGGAAAAGTATCAAAAAATCTTCCGCATATCCAGGCCAGTGGTCCCAACATGTCCCAACTATGTGTACATTCCCTACCTTCACCATGGTTTCTGTTGTTTTTTTCCATATGAGCGATCGGCAAAACCTCAATTGAAAAATGCGATCTCGGGTCAAAGTTATCGTTTTTGGGACTTCACTATATCGTTTTACAGTATATCCGGATTGCATCATGTGCATCCCCTGGCAAACTGCGTGCGGAAAGCCTTTTTACACCTCCACTTCAGCGTCTGAAGCATCGTTGACTGCCCTGCGCTTTCTTTTGTAGCGCTCCAACTGTATGGTATGGTATGATACATGTCAATGCAACTGCAAATCACAGTTGCACCAAACAAGTTTGAATCCAGTTGTTGGAAGAAGTCTGGGTGAGCTCTCACAGCGACATGCTCCATGCCTTTCATTCACTCCCCAGCGTCTGGGTAGCAAACCATCAACATGGTCCAATGCTTTTCCAGGTGCAGGTGTGCCGGTGTGCCCGAGATGAACCAGGATTGACTAAAGCAATGGAGCGCCGCAAATATGCATAGCAGCGAAAAGATTGCAATAAGCAAGTGATAATATTCAACGGCAAAGAGAATCATCTCAAGAATCTTTTCGCATCTGGGCCATCCATCAGCGAAGGACATTTTGTCAAGAAATGGTTATCGTTTAGTTATCGTTTTCGTTATCATTCAAAGAGGGAAGCATTTTTAGAAAATGGCATGAACCAAGGAATGTTGGAAAGGAGGCCTGTTGTCATTGTCAATGCTTGCATGAAAGCGGGAAAATACAAAACACTCATCCGGAAGGCTTGAACAATGGCGAGGCAAAAAGAGCATCCAAATCCAGCTAGTTACCACATACTGTAGCAATACGTGCTTGGATACAAAACTGTTTGCAATAATCAGGAATAAAGAAATTGGCCAGCATCAAGAGTGTCAACATACTTTTGCACATCTTCCGTTGTGCGAGCTGGTCATGACGTATACCCCACAACTGAGAGCCTAGATGATCTAGATGCTTCTAGAACAGGTATCCACCATCATGTCATGTACACCACCCCTTCACTTCCCATAATGCTTTTACATATAATATGATTCCCAGGTTATCTTTTTTGGGACTTCACTATATCGTTTTACATATCAAGATGCATATTTTTACATACGAGAGCGCTCGAATACATACCTCCTACACGGACAGTTTAGCCTCTTGCTCATATGAATGGTGGATGGGACTATTCACACGATTTGCTCACCATGTCATCTATTCGATCATCACTGCCGGAGAAGTTGGTGAGGGATTGGTGGCCTATCTGGACCAACGGCTTTTTCGGATGCCACAAAACAACGGATGATTCCTCACCGATTTTTGCAGCATGTGTTTTTTGTTGACGTTGCGATCTGCCAATTTGTTTTCTGTTGGTTTTTGTCATGTCTTCAGCCAATCTTCTTGACTTTGCCAATCACATCCAATCACCTAGATTGCTTTATTCTCGTCACGTTGGAAAGCCTACTTCTGTGCTTTTGCTTTGAGCCAGTGGGATTCCAATTATGGTGTACTGGCTAGATCCAGATGGTGTAGATGGTGTGCTGGGAACTTGGGTGGTTGAATTCTAAACACCTTGGGTATTGGTCCATCTGTAGTTCGCTTGGTGAATCTTGACGCGTGCACAAGGCATTCTCCTCTGTTACTCTTCCAAAAAATCCAAAACCTTAGATCTACATGTTGGATCGTTTGGACTAGCTATACATGGGTCTACACGTTTGACTTCTCAATGCGTTTTGAAAGAAAATCATTATATCTTTTGTTGGATCTTCTGCAGTAAGTTTTCAGACGGCAAACACCATCGTGAAAAAACAGTTTCCTTTACTTCCAAAAATGCCCCACATTAGGGTTTGTCTGTGTCAAAGTTATCCATTGCCTTATTATTCGTTCTGTTTTGTCAACTATTCAATTTTTGCTGGTTCGCTCATATTAATTCTGGTTGGTGGTTTTAACCATCCTGAAAAATATGAGTTCGTCAATGGGAAGGATGACATCCCATATATGAAATGGAAAATTGTTAAAAAAAAAGTTCGAAACCACCAACCAGTCATGGTATTGAATAATAAATGTGGGATTTCAACCAATCATCCATTTTTGGATCATCCATTTTGCTGGTTCACTTATATTCTTCTTCTGATAAACAAGATATCCAGAACAAGATCGAACACAAGCAGCTGCCTCTCAGCATCAGCCTCTTGCTCTTCTGCTTGCAGTTTCGCCTCGATGGGGAGACATTTTTTCGTGGCCATTTTGTTAAGCACCAAAAATCCACAAAAATGGACTTATCAATGAAACAAAAAGTGGTTGCTGGTGCTTAAGTTTCGGGCTATCATCAATTTCCACAGAATATGATTGTGGTAGATAACATTTATCTTTCCCCAACAAACAGTTGGGAAAAGTCGGCTTCTGACATCTTCTGACCCCCTATTTGGCAGGATATTTAGGTATTTACCACAGTAACTATTCTACTGGAACTTGGGGGTTGAAACTGGGTCTCTTTCAGATGTTCAGCCCGGAATTGGATTGTGATGGTGGTGACACATGACATACTTGAGATGGGATATCAGCTGAATCCACAACCTTTTTTATGAACATATGTGCGAACAAATGATAACTATCAAATATAGTGCGCTCCTGAATTTAGGAATGCACCACAAAAAAACATCCTAAATGGTACCCCTCAAGAAATCAGCTGAAAAATCTTATTACTGTATATCTCTGATTATATATATAATCCCAACCATTTGCAGATCCAACAACACTAGTGATTCTAACGCAAGGCTACGAGGTGATGTCCGAAAAAGTTATGAATTGATTAACCCATCGAACTAGAAACCCATCGGAATAAACTATAGCATTGTAGATATGACTGGAAAGTAATGATATAAACTAATATCATCCCATAGTTAATTAACTAGATGTATAAAATAGGAATACCCTCTGGTAAACTAACATTGTGCGAACTGGAAAATCACCATTTTATAGCTGGGTAAATCCACTATTTCTATGGCCATTTTCAATAGCTATGTTAAATTACCAGAGGGTATACTTGGATATCTGCCATAAACCATCAACTTCACCAAAGACCACCGTCAGCCATTTCCCACCACTTTTTAAACATGCGCCTCTAGGGCAGTGTAGTTCTCGCGTTCCGCGGCCTCATTGGCCTTGGTGTTTTACAAAAAAAACAAATAGGCCATCAATATCCATGACATATCCATTCATGTTGGTAAAATAATATAATGGTGATTAAATTGGGGATTGTAATGGTGATTTAATGGAGATTATTGGGAATATAATGGTGACTAATGGGTAAAACAATGCCATAAACCACCCATGACTGGGAATATTAACCATAGCACCTAATAAAAATGATGATGACTGGGGGATAGTTTAGTTGTTTTACCCACATTATATATTCTGAATACCCTCCAGTAATCCGGTACTCAAACGTGACAATTTGTTCAATCCACTGTTGATGTTCTTGTGACCAAATGAATCTCCATTTGTAGGGGATTTTCCATTGCTACGTTTCATGAACAGAGGGTATCTAATCTTTACTTGAGATTGGGATATGACTGAATCTTTCGATATGACACAATTAATCTCTCCACAAACAAATATTATACCCAAACAAAATCCTGATTCAGCATTAGATCTATTCATTTTGGGGTCCAAACGGTGATTTTATTGAATCAGTATTCAATATTTGGGGGAAGGGACTCTTAAGAAACCACAGCGGGATTTGACTTGGTCAAAGTTGTAGGGCTAAAATCGGTTAAGCACACCAAACATATACCAAATGTATCTAAAACATATCCAAGCATCTCTGATTTCGGGGCCTTCAAAAAAAAATACAAATTCCCATTTCAGGGACCTAGAATTTTCAGAGACACATAGCAGAAATGGCTTTGAAAACTAGCAAGAACAATTCCTAAGGATGTATGATCATCAACTCTCTAGAAGGTGTTCAGGACAAAGCCAAGGTTGGACCACTCGGACATGTGCCGACTTTTTTTTGCACAAAGAGACGATGTGGGTGGGTGTGTCTGAAAATGCCCAAAACATGGCCATTTCATAGGTACCCTCTGGTAAACGTTTACATTTTGCGAACTGGAAAATCACCATTTTTAATGGGTAAATCCAATATAAATCACCATTTTCAATAGCATGTTTTAGGATGTTGCTCTAACACGGTATCTTTAGGTTAAAATTGGTTGTTATTTAATGGTTATTTTTTGTTATTTAATTGTTTTTTTTTTGTTATTTCACGGTTATTTTTTGTTATTTAACTTTTTTTTTGTTATTTAACTGTTATTTTTTTGTTATTTAACTGTTATTTTTTTGTTATTTAACTGTTATTTTAATTGTTATTTTTTTGCTATGTTGGTTTACCAGAGGGTAGCCAAACATCAACGATGGGATTTGGCCACCTCCCCTCAGGTGAAAATACTGCTTGAGCCAATCGAACTTTACGAGCAGAAAGCCTTGACCAATCTTGGGGAGCCAACTTTGCACCGAAAACCCGGATTTCAAGGGACCTCTCTATGGATATGTCTGATGGGGCTTTTCCCGCTACATCCTCAAAATGGCAGCTTTCATGTATTTTCATGTGTTTTGAACATGAACACATATTATGTGTTTTCTTTTCTGGGAAGCCTACGAATATTCCCCCAAAGAGTTGGAACATGCATTCAGCAACCCATCAGCCCTCGCCTCGGCTTGTTTGAGCCGGTCGATGAGACTAGAGAACCTCAGTTGGGACCCCATCTGACTGGACCTGCTGGATCCATTGAGTTTGATGTACCTGCTAGAAACCAAAAAATACCAAGCGGCTGCAGTGGAACAAATCCAGAAAACATGTTTTGTTGGGTGGCAATAACCACACCATATGATTCTTCAATTGAAAATTTCTGCAAAGTTATGTGCTGATTGGATCGCATGGGATGCCCGGGATTCCCCATGGATTGTGATCATCCGTCATTCATCTTGGATAATAAAACTTGGTTGGTGGCTGAGCCCTACCCCTCTGAAAAATGATGGAGTTCGTCAGTTCGGATGATGACATTCCCAATATGCTGGGAAAGTCATAAAAGCCATGTTCCAAACCACCAACCAGAAACCCAGTGCTTTTAAATGATAATCCACCATTCATGTTGGGCCAATGTTGGGGATAATCTGTTGGTTAACCAACAGGGGTAGATCGCACTGCTCACGTACCTACGTACGATGGATCGCATCACCAACTTGCTGGTTACGAGAAAACTGGACAATGATAGACCTTGTAGGTGACAGGACGACATCATGTTACATTAACTTCTAGTTGGCATCATGTTATACAATCATCATGTGATATAAACACATATATATAATTGCATATAGGTAAACAAACATAAACACAATAAAACCAGCTCAAGAAACACATAGTAAACATCCGCAGCAAATGTCAACTGTGGCTGGTCACAACTCCGCTTCCATCAGGGGCACCCCACTTCTTGCACAAAAACTCCACCGACCCATCAGCACCTTGGGTACGACAATGAGGAAACTGTTCACCAATGCATGGGTTAGTTGGGATTTGTTTTAACCATCCACAGTGGTGATGAAAAAAATGAAACATGGTGATTTAATGTGTAACTACCCTCTGGTTTTTGTAACGCGGCTATGGAACGTGGTTCATTTTTTGATGATAAACACTATGATTTTGGAATTAAACATGGTGATGTTCCAGTCCGCAAACTATGCAAACTCTTAAATTACCTCCAGAGGGTAAAAGCCGGACACTCGGTTTTATGGTGTTTTATCATCATGTCAGTTGTTTATTTGGCTGGGAATAAAATTCAAATAACCACAAGGCCATTCGAAGTCATGTTTTTTCGCCGAATATCATGTTTTCCGCCCTTCAATCCTTGGAATAAGAGGAACAACAAACATTTTTTTTGTGGATGCACTGATAACACTGGGAATTAGCAGGACATCTGGTTCTTCAATGGTTTCAATCAATCCAATCAATGTTGCATGTGTCGATGCTCTTGTGGACATGATAATATCGCGACGTGAGCTATGGAAAATCATCAGCTTGGTATATTTATGTACAGATCAATGGGCCGTCCCAAAGCAATTTGTGTAACCAAAAATCAGAGGGCCGGGTAGTCATCCCTTCTGAATTCCACATAGATTTTCCATAACATGCTTGGCTATATCCCCATGATCATCCCGGTAGATCCCGTTCAATCCACTTAAATCACAAGTGTCAATGATGAAATTTCATGAACAATCACCATTTTCTCCCATGAATTTCATTGAAATTCATCGAAATTCACCCATTTTTGCTGGGAGAACTGGGAGAATGTGTTCCATGAAAAAAATCACCATTCTCCCATTGGATTTCCAACCATTTCTCCTTGATCTTCACCAATTTCTCAGCCGGCGTCCCCCACCCGGTACGGCACCACGTTGCAGGCCCGCAAGCAGGCGACTCACGTCCAAGTCAGCCATACCTGGCGTGTGACTGTGAAGAAATGGATGATCTATTGGGATTTTGAAGCATCAAACGTGGTGATTCAATGGGTTTATAATGTTTATAATGAATAATGTGTTTATATTCCAATATTCCAATATAATATAAATGTTTATAATTATAATGTTTATTGGAATATTGGAATATATATATATAATGTGTTTGTAATGTTTATATTCCAATATTCCAATAATGTTTATAATGGTGATTCAATGTTATATATTGGAATATTGGATTTAAACATCTTTTAACCATAAAAATGATGGTTTAGTGAAATGTTAACCATCAACGATTGCGATTTAGTAGGATGTTTAACCATCAAACATGGTGATTCAATGGGTCTAATTATATAGATGTTAACATATGCCAACCATCAAAAATAGCGATTAGCATCAAAAAATGTGATTTAATTAATGGGTAATGGGACATTTATGGAAAAATATGGTACCATAAGTACCATAAGGATAGTCCCATTCAAAGGGGAGATGTAATGGCTATATCGATCTATATCGTGGGTAATTATAATAGGGTATAATAGGGTACACTGGGTAATTCACCACTAACTAAGTGCAAATCTGAGTTGATCAGTTGATCACAAAAAAACTGGGAATATCTGAAAATCATCTATAAATGATGAGACATGGCCTGAGAAAAAGGATATATTCATCAGGATTTCACGATGGGGGATATATGATATAAGATATACCGAGATACCTTAGGGTAAGCATACAAAAATATGTGGAACACCAATGGGTTCTCTTAGGACACTTATGTAGAAATGGTGGTTTTTCCGCATCTATGTAAAGGTTTACAAGTCTACAGGGAGGGCAAGTAAAGGGACGTCAGAAATGAGAAATGACATCCAAAATCACTAAACCAAGCTTTCCCTTGGTCCCTGGACATATCGACATTTCGTATGTTGGGTCAACAGCTGGGCAAAGAAGATGACTCATAGATCATTGGATTGGTTTGAGGGAAAATCTACAGGAAACCATAGTTTTTACCATTAAATATGAGGGTTTCCTGTAAATTTTCCTGTAAACCAATCCAATGAATAGATCAACAACACAAAAACGTCTCTTTCCGCCCTCGCCAATGAAATCATCAAATATTCATGTGACAAACCGAAAAGGATATCTTAATAGTAGCAACTAAAACTGAAGAAACAAAAGATATGTGAACAGCGAAAATCAGGCATTTGGGATTTGGGGTGGGGTACACAAATGAGACCCAAATATCTAGTAAACATCAAGAAGGGCTTGTTGCTGACCATGACCAAGCCCCCATCTAGCTGAACGCTGGAAACTATAAATCAATGAACTTACTCATGGCTTCTGGGGGATGCGAACCATACCGGTTTTAGGGTACCCAATTTTGACCCAATCGGCCACATCTCTCACACCTGGTGTCGCAGAAGACGCGAAGAAATGCACCAGCCATTTCAGCCAATTGAGCCATTCAAAAAGGGGCTGATGTTTTTTGTCAATCAAGAATTGGATTCAACATTGATGTTAAATCACCAATATATTGGATTGGGCTGATGTTGAATCAACAATTGATGTTAAATATCCTGGGATTCAACAAAAGACATAACGGCGATTTAAAGATAATATTACAATCTCAAAACCATAAACCATGTCTGAAGTTTTTTTCAACGACCATGAATTCAGTTCAATCTCATCTCATCAGTCGACATTTTGGATTCTGGGCTTGGCACCGCACCCAATACATTGACCCTGGAGTAAACATACAAAAGAAATGTGGAAAACCTACGGTTTCCATAGGAGGGCTTATCACATCCATGTTAGTTTACAGGAGGGTAAGTAGTGACTTTAAGCAAACAAAGTGTCAACATGTTTTTTTTTTCCGAACTACCAGGTACAAGCACCTTGTGGTGGATTAAGATGTTAATAGTAAGTGTGATTGATATAGGCCCATGTGAAGAGCCATATCATAAGAAACAAGGTGGTATGCAACTCAACTGCTGCTATCATCAACCATCCACTGAAAGGCTGAGTGGATGTGCCTTTGTTATGCTTCAAATCAGCCATGGATCCGTGGCCATTGTTGTAGGAAATGTTTTCCCCAAAGATATAAGATAACTAATGTGGGTAAAACAATGCCATAAACGCACCATCCCCCAGTCATCACCATAAATATATGATAATATATGTGCTATGGTTACCATTCCCACATGGTTTATGATAGGTTTACTCACATTATTATTGTGAGTTGAGTTTCTGGGACATTCCCCCAACAAAAATCGTCGACCAAGCCGCAACCCACAGCCCTTTGCCCATTTGTCCCTGGGCTTCAGCAGGGTCAACGATCTGTGGTGAAACGACCACGTCACGCCGTGGCAACCCGGTTGGTAAGAATACAAATTGAACCAGAAATTAAAACTTTGACGTTCTTACCAACAATATTTGGTTTGGTGATTATGATGATAGGTGATTTGACATCTTCTACTCTTATTCTAACATCCATAATATTGAGATTTGATGTTGGTGGTTGTGCTAGTTCTATGAAGCGTATGAATGAGTTGATTGCATGATTATCATCCTGAGTGATGCTCGCTTTGGAATGCCGATTCACAGAATTCTCAGGAGATATGACATCCTGCGGACCCTTTCTATACATTCAATGTGGCCCCCCCCAGTTATAAGTTGGTTTAGATTCGCCCCAGTAACTAGTTCGTTATTTGCGTACCATAAACCATAGTGACATTGGAGTTATTTGCACCAACTGAACGCTATCTGAACGCTATCGTGGCCGGGGGCCTCACATTGTTGATATACTTTATCTTCTGGGATCTACTCTGATGCTCCAAAATAAACAAAACCAAGCGACTGGCACATGAAATTACACATTGGTGACATGCACATTGTGACATTCTTGTTCCAAACCTTGTTCGCACACGTCGACCCTTTTTTGGTCTTGCTTCAATCCTCATGTTTGATGCTTCGACTACACTTCTTGAACTATTCCCTTCTCTCCATGGCATGAAATCATCCTTCTCTGAGTGTGTATGCAACTCCGCATACATAATCTATATATATATATATTATATATAATATAATATAATATGTATATAATATGTATAATATGTAAATAATATGTATATGTTCCGACTCCCACCTGAAGCAAAGGTACATTACCACTTGTATATATGTATATATATTCAAAAACTTGTTTCTACTTCTCTTTGTCCATGGGTTCATGGGGGTCAAAGCCCAATCCCCCAAAAAAATGTACATCAGTTCTACCCAATCAATTAGCATATCCCAACAGTTACATATCCCAATCCTTCAATGGGGATTGCGATTTTTTTAATTTCTTTGTGAAAAATCACAAAATGTTTGTTGGTTATACCAGCTATACCACCATTTTTCCATGGTTGAATCACCAGTTCTGATCTTTCAATGACCTCTACCAGCACCTTAAAAGATCTTACAGTAGCTGTTGCTTCCCACCAAATGCTGGTTTGCTGAAATGGTGGTACCCCCAAATGGATGTATATCAGGAAAATATTGGAACATCCGATTAAAACTAAGTGATTTGAGGATTTTGAACAATATATAGCGGAAAATCCTATCAATCCTATTTCCCACTATTTCCCATGGTTTATATTGGAAAATCCTATGAAATTATAGGTGATTTCACCATGTGAAGTGATGCGAAAATCCCCCAACAGGGGGAGTTTCCGAGGCGCCACGATGTTTTTTTGTGTTCTCTCTTGGCAACGCAACACGTGGCGGGTTGGAGATGGGAAGATTACTGGGATATGCTGAGATAAAAACCGAAAGTGGGAGTTAATATGAGTTAATATTTTTTGTTTCAGTGATTGTTTCCAACAACTTTAAAATATTTGAGCTTGAGAGTGTTCTATCATTTAGTATTATTCTATTGCACATACTAGTCAATGCTACCCAATATGATTGGAACGTTACTTGATGATGCACATGGTAGTAGATTTCAAGATACTTTAGAGTAAACAAATTCAGAGTATTAGTTGAAATTGGAACAAATAACAATAGTAAATACACACAGTACAGAATCATACATATGATGAACAGGTTAAACTTCAAAACCCACCATACCAGAATACATTGAATCATTGGCGGATCGCATCATTTCATGCAAGTTATGGGAGGGTATGGGTCAAAACTCCAGTACCCTGATGTGAACCCTAAAATAAATTGTAAATGGATCTTCATCACCGTAAATGTAGTAATGATAGGTTTTGAGCCATCAACATATACATATATATATATATGTGTATATATATATATGTATATATATATGTATATATATAATATATATATATATAATGACGACTGGGAAGTCAACATGGGATACCATTTTGGAGCAGTGCGATCTGCATGTGATCCGAAAGGTTACAATTTGTGAACTGCGTGATTTGGGGGTGCCCTCGTCACTGAATCTTCAGTCTGCACTAGAATCATTGGTAGCCTATTGCAGATCCGTTGGGTGTATTCTTCTTGGACGATCACACTCAACCAAACGAAATTGCGTTTGAGATTTGTTCTCCATGAAATCCATAAAAAGTAATTCTAATCTTCAACTTGTCCATATTTTTCCAGCAAACTGCCATCAACATATCGCGTTGTGGGTTGGGTTGGGCTGGGTGACCACATTTCCAGACGACGGATGGATGGAAAACCTGGAGCTCTCCGAACTCACCACGTGGGTCGTTTTTGTCACTCCATGTGAGGCAACCGCCGCCAACACGGAGTGGAGCGGCACCCTGGCGGAATCGTCCGGAAATAGCCAGTCAAAAAGCATCAAAAAGCATCAAAAGGCCATGGAACTTTCAAAATCTTCCAACTTCAGACTCATAATCATCCCGAAATAATGGGAAGTGGGACTTCGGACTTTTTTTACCATGAACATGAACATTTACCATGAGTTTTTCATCTTAGAACATGAATCATTTCAAAAACCTAAAATGGGAATGGAATGATAGAACAATCAATGCTCTATCTACTCCAGGATGACCTTCAAAGATTTATTCTGGCTTATGGATGGTTATAGTAGAGAAATCTATATTTATATGATGGGGTTTATAAACGAACTTGAAACTGGGTGGCAGCACCTTGCTGTACCCAACGAAACAAACTAGAATATGTAGAAGCTGGTTGATGGCTTTAAATCTCACCAAACCTGCTACGAGTTGTGTATCATGATTCTTGCTGGTTGTCGTAGGAAAATCATGTGAAAAAACATCTTCAACTTGGGTATCCAGAGGATCCCTCTCCAAGATTTTTCATGGTTGCCCTCCTGCAAACGTTTACGCAGATGTGGAAAACCAAACCCAGCATGTATAGATCGGTTTCCAAGGGCTTTTTTCCACATTTATGTTAGTTTACCCACAATTCTTGCCATGTTCTATGGTCCAAACCCAAAACTCCAAGCCCAGTTTCCCCTTTCGGACCCCACCTGGGGTCACATTAGCGAGCATGCACAGGCGGAGCCCTGATGGGCGATGGTTTTCCTTTTTTGGGTTCCAACAAAAACAATCTGATACATGGGGATGTATTGTGGATGTATTATGGATTATAGATGTAGTATGGATGTGTTCTGGATGTATACCCTCTGGTAATCAGCGGCCCTGCGTGGAAATCCATGAAAATCTCCTATCAATGGGTATTTAAATGGGACATCATCTATAACTGGAAGATTTTCCCGCAAACTATGTTTGATTACCAAACGATATCCAAAATTGTCCAAAAATGTTTATGGATATTATAAAATCTAGTGTCATTTTGGAAAATTACATGAATTCCTCCACGAAACGAGTTTGGAAGACTGATATCACGATAAAGTCTAATTATGCCTAATAAAGCCTAATTAACAAGATATCAAGAAGTTATAAGTTATAATACATAAGTCAACTTGGCTATCTAGGGAGCCTCACATTGTGCACGCACTGCGCTGAGGATGCGGATGGCAGAGGAGCAAGTCATAGGCGATCGCCCAACATTGCTGTGGCCCTTCATGCGGAAGCCAAGCAATGGCTGACAAGGCGAAGAACATAACCCATAGGATCCATGTATGGTATATATGCTAACATTTGGGGTATATTGATGGTAAATGTTACCATATATAGCATACATGGATCCTATGGGTAACAGAAAGAACCTGTGCTTCACCAAAAGCGCAACTGGCAACTGCCAGTTATTCTTTGACATGACAAAGATCGCTGCGGTCACCATCCCTACATATCAAACCTTTGGAACTGTGGAAAGTGAGGAAACCGGAGGAAACTACCACGGCTGGAACTGAACTGGTCCTGGTCATGCTGTGGTCTAGGCATATTATCTTCATCCATTTCTCAAAATCTGGGGTTTTCTTCTGGGTGTGTGAACCCCAAAGCTAAGATACATATACATATATATATAATAGATAATAATAATAATAATAATAATTATTATTATTATATATATATATACGTTTGATTCTTGTGAAAAAATACTGCTTCCCCCAAGATATTTTTGAATTTCCCAACCATCGATCCTGAAGTTTCTACACCGCTTTTTTGGGATCCTCAGGCAATCATCAGCCATGTTTCAGAGCTGAATCATCTATAGAAACGCCCCCAAAAAAGGTTGATAGAACATGATCGAAAAGCTAGACACTTGTACAATGTGGCCCCCCATCAGTTATAAGTTGGTTTATAAGCCCCAGTAACTATAGTTATTTGCGTACCATAAACCATAGTTATTGGAGTTATAAACCAACTTAGCTATCTTGGGGGCCTCACATTGTAGAAATGAGGGAAACATCATCTCTTTCATCATCCTGGAGGTCCACGTTTCGGCATCTTCTTGGGTCATTCCATGTGATTCCCAGAGCTACCACTTTCATCCGGCAAGGATAACATGCCGTGAAGACAGATCTATTGAACCCCCAACTCCAACCATTTTTGGTACATAAGGCCCATGAGGCCAAAAAACGCCTACCATCATTGACTCATTGACTTCTCCGGATCCCCAAGAAGATAGTAACGTTTTTGTCTAGGATGTGAAAAAAAAGGGTGTTTTCCATGTCATTTACCATCTACTAAACATACAAAAAACTATGGAACATCACCATTTTTGTTGATGGGTCAATCCACGAACTAAATCACCATGTTCAATAGCTTTTTGTATGTTTTCCAGGCCGGGTCATCAGATTTCCAACTGTTCTATCCTCCCTGGGGGGTTCGGCACCTGCTTCTTTTTGCTCTCCACAGCCACCCTGCACCAAGGACCACTGGCTCCAGTGCCAAGTGACGGCGTGACGGGGGCTACAGCTGATAACTCCATGGTTTGATTCTGGGGACCGTGCCGGTATCCTGATCACCAGAAAATCTAGGTAAATCAAACTATATACACTTGTCATAGTTATTATGATATACCATTATTATATTATTAATATAATAATGGTATATCATAATAACTATGATAATTATAATATGATCACCTATATAATGAAAGGAAAACATGTTTGGATATTTACACTTATTATCCACGTGATATCACTTGGATCGTCCCGTAGTTCATGATGTTCATTGGTGACAGGCTCCAGGCTCGCCCTTCCAATGGCCCCAACTTGGGGACCTGGTTGGTGGTTGAGCCCTACCCCTCTGAAAAATATATGACTTGGTCAGTTGGGATTATGACATTCCCAATATATCCCATAGGATATCCATGTATGCTATATATGGTAACATTTACCATCAATATACCCCAAATGTTAGCATATATACCATACATGGATCCTATGGGTATGGAAAAAAAAAATCATGTTCCAAACCACCAACCAGTCATGTTTAGGCCCTTAAAACCCTCGTTTTTGACCAACTCAAACTGGAGCATCCGCAACACTCAATGCTTTGGCACCCCATCTGGGCTCCCCCACGCCATTGCTTTAGGAACAGCCTGTACCTGCACCGGCGTCCCACACCCTAGGACTCACTGTTTGGTGCTTTTTCGCCACCTCCCTTATGCGAAAGTCAGTTGGAATCATCATCACGATAGGCTTAAAGAAAACACACCTATATCATATATCCGAAACAGCCAAGCATGTGACTCATTCCCTCCCCTCAGGTTGCTGTTGCCTATCCATCTGTAGGACGTCAAACATCTGACGCCTCAGGGGAGATCCTTACAGACTCAGAATCCACCGCTTCGCCCTCGCCGCTTCGCCCCGAAAATTGCGGCGCACATGCACGGCAGGGACCCCGATCTTCGACAGATCCGAAAGAATCTTTGCTTCGTTCAGGCGCTGGTTATCCTTAGCTGCCAGCGAAAGGACTGGCACTGGGAGGCAGTTCTGAACTGACCAATCTGACCACCGGAAATAGAAGGTTGAATTTACCATAATTTACCACTGTTCTGAATTATGTAAGTGGGATTTGGATGGATTTGGGATTTTATTTTTTGTTTCATAGAATTGGATGATGGGAAAATTTACAGGAAACCCCTATATTATTTGATGGTAAAAACCATGGTTTCCTGTAGATTTTCTCTTAAACCAATCCATTGATTGTTGCATCTTTTTGGGTTGCGAAATCTTGCGGCAAAGGACTGAGGACTTGGGATGTGTTTCCACTTTTTCATATCTCACTTGGAAAGTTAAACATATATTTTTTGCTCACTGTTTACTGATCGTTGGGATCCATGTAATTATATATTATATATACATCGGACATGATATGAAATAATGAAATTGTGTCCTTTTCTGCACAAAAAAAAACGATCGATGATTGGGGGGTCCATGTTTTGCCATCGAGAAACCAGGCCACAAAAAAACATCGAAGATTGGATACCTAGCAAAACAAATGCGTTCTAGCTGGGTGGCATATTTCCCCATATTTATGACTGAAGAATCCTTTTCAATATCTCCAAGAACGCTGGAAAGACAGCCAAAGAATGATTTTGTCTAAGGTTATCCACCCTTCGTTCTGAATTACTTGAAGAATTATACCTTGAATTTCCCATGTTCACCCACCCTTCAGGACCTTCACCAAGCCGAGACGCAGCACCATCCTTTCCACCAATCTCCTGGAATCTGAGATTTTTTCGGAGTCCAGCCTCTGGTTATGACTCTTACATAGCTGTGGTAGTTCGATGGCCCTAATCGAAATAGATGTTTTGAAAAAGGATTTACCCAATAAAACTGGTGATTTTCAATAGCTACGTTAAAGTACCAGAGGGTATCAAATACAATTTAATTGGACTTGTGAGGGTTAGCTCCCAACGACTGGGATAGGAGTCCCACTTCATCACCATGTTGTTCCAGTCATCCTTAAACAACCTCGAACTCATCCAAAATGTCAGTGGAGTTTTTCAGAGTACCATTTTAAGAAAATACCAAATCCCAAATGTGGTAAGATAGACTTTCCCTAAAATCCAATGGTTTATTCCTATTCTAATGCCATAAATTGGGGATATACCTATATACCTTATTTCCAGTCAAACCCAAAAAATATCATCAAATTATTGGTGAATATCTCCGCTTCTATCCCAATTTGTCCTCATTGAAGGACAATTATTGATGGGCAAACCACACATTTCCCACCATGTTCAGTCCAACTCCCAAAAATCACCCAATTCTTCTGTTGGCTACGTCGTCGATCCGGATGTATCTCCATTCATATTATATATATATATATATTCATATCCCAATTATAGCTACTTCATGCTATTTCAATAAAGAAACACATGATTCACCGGATTCCGGGGTGCACTACTCATATGATACTTCATCCATATCATCCATATCATCCATATCATCCATATCATCCATATCATATCACCACTATCATCATTAATTATACAAACCCATACCATCAGTAATCATCATGTATCATCCATATCCCAATTTTCAGCACCATGTTTCCATGTTTTTTCCTCACCAGCGGAGACGTTTCCCCAAGCTCTCCCGCCTTGCCACCGGCGAAAAGCCGCAGCCGCGCCACGTCGGAAGGCAGGGTGGGGGGCCTCGACATGGATGATTTTGGGTGGACTTAATGAGCCAAAACGGAACCACAACATGGTGTGTGTGTGTGTATACCCTCTGGTTATGTCAAAACAGCTATTGAAAATGACCATTGAAATAGTGGATTTTCCCATTGAAAACGGTGATGTTCCATAGTTATGTTAGTTTACCAGAGGGTAAATAGTACGTGGATATACGTAGGATCATGGATTTGGGATATATCATGATATATCTCATATATGCAACTCTCATAGGGGTCCAGGGTGATTGCTTTAAGACTGACCCCCTTCGGGGGCAAAATCAACTCTTATCCACTCTTATCCACTAAATACCACTCTTATCCACTCTTATCCACTCTTTTCCACTCTTATCCACTCTTATCCCACTCTTATCCACTCTTATCCACTCTTATCCAACTCTTATCCACTCTTATCCAACTCTTATCCAACTCTTATCCAACTCTTATTCACTCTTATTCACTCTTAATTTTAAGAGTAATGTTCTTCACTCTTATTCACTCTTATCCACTCTTATCCACTCTTATCCACTCTTAACAACAATGTGGTCGTCTCAGGATCAATGGGGTTTATCTTGATTTGAAATGGTGTATCAATGGCAAAGATTGTGGCTCAAAACGGAGCTCAGTGAGAAAGATTGGGGAGCTCGTGTCGACTTCAAGTTGACACTGGGGGCACCAATGTTTGTTGGGAGTGTTAACATGCTAAAAAACTAATATGAAATAGTCCTCGAAGGGGGTCACTCCCCCTGAAATGCATACCCTCTCATGGTTTAATACCAAGCCAAGATATGGTTCAAATATTACTACCCTCCCATGGTTTTGGGGGAGTGACCCCCTTCAAAACACGAGTTTTTGATAGTTTGGCTATATTAATCATTCAAAAATGAATACCCTCTCATGGTTTTGGGGGAGTGACCCCCTTCAAAACACGAGTTTTTGATAGATTTGGATATGAATCCTCAAAAATTGAATACCCTCTTATGGTTTTGGGGGAGTGACCCCCTTCACCAGTGTTTAGTGGGAAATTGTAGTAAGGATGGAACATTGAAGCTCAAGAAGAGCGCTTCCAAAAAATAGGAAGAACACCGACGCATTTCAACTGAGTTGAATCATGCTGCAAAAAAAAAACACGGTGGTTTCAAGTTGACCTGGAACTTGTGAAATCACATGAATTTTACCATTTTGGAATTTCAACTCTTATTTTTAAGAGTAAATAAGAGTAAATAAGAGTCAATAAGAGTCAATAAGAGTCAATAAGAGCAAATAAGAGTAGCAAGGGGGTCACCTCTAACACCATCAGCTTAGCTTCCTATGAAACTCATGATGATTATATGGTATGATTATATGGTATGATTATCTAACCAGCATGGTGATCTGGATTTCACGGGATAATATGGGGCTACAATGGGTAGCGAGATTCAATGGAGGATATCACACTCACACATGTTCAAATCGAACCAAGCATCATACTACATACCCTCTGGTAATGACTAACATAGCTATTGAAAATCACCATTTATAGTGGATTTTTCCATTGAAAATGGTGATTTTCCTCAAAACCGTTGAATTATAGTTAAATTAAAAATCACTGTTCAAAAGTTCTTGAAATCTGTCGCGTGACCAGGGCTGATTTAAAGCGTGCCTCACAAACTTATACTTTTTCACATGTCATCCAACCCAAATTGAATAAATTGAACATGTTGGTGATACCCTGGCCATTTTCAAGGGCAAATGATGATAAAGTTTATGAAAATCTAGGGGTGCCATCTATTTTCATCTATTTTCCGACTAACTCGCAGGATCTCAAAGGTATTTTGATGGATGAAGGGGACCTTTGTCACACCAAAATGGGATGAGAGGAACCAGCAAAAATCCAAGAATTCCCGATATTAAAGTTCACAAAATCAACAAACATCTGCCAATTTTTGTAAGATCTTGACATGCCAAATGCACCAAGATCTGGAGCTTTAACTAGTGTCCCGCATGAAGTTGGCAAAATCCATTGAAACCGGCGACGATGTGCCAACAATGCTGGGATTTTTGGGTGTTTGCTCAGCCAACAAACCTGGAACAACATGTTGATGCCCCTGGAAAGTTACCCTCTGGTAATTTGTCACAAAAAAGTATTGAACATGGCCCATTTATGGCGGATTTACCTATTCAAAGTGGTGATTTTCCATAGTTTTTGGTATGTTTACCAGAGGGTTTGGATTCAAGGTTTGGATTCTTGTTTTTTTGGGAGTTGCATCTGGATCTCGCGGGGAATTCTACCCTGCAGTAGGATCAGTGGGAAACCCTCAAAAATCCCTTTCTACTGGGACTAGTTCATAGGATTCCCTAGCTCATGTACGAGAATCTCCAATATATTGGGTCCCATCCCTTCTCTTAGAAGAAAACCACCCAGAAACTCTGGTGACTTGTGGAGATTTACACTAATATTTGGGACCGCATTTTTTATGCGGGTGGTTGACATTACCCTCTGGTTATTTAACATAGCTATGGAAAATGGCCCATTTACAGATGATTTTCCCAGCTAGAAACCTCCATTTATGGTTGGGATTTTCCATGGCTATGTTAGTCATAACCAGATGGTAGATGGGATTCATCATCAACACCATGGGTAAATCTCAGCCACACTCAACTGTATCTAAAAATTCAGTAGAGTTCTTGAGGGGTATCCGACCTCGCTGGCCTGACGTTTCAGGTGCATGGCATGTTTGGTGCCGTTTTTTGGTGTGCACTAAAAAAACTTTTAAGGTCGTATTTTTTTTCACATATCTAGATATAGAACATGGCCCATTTATAGATGATTTACCTGTTAACATATTATATAAATTATATATGTGAACTGATTTAGAGGGGTCCCCCCCAAAAAAAATGAAAAACATGATGGAAAGTTGTGTTTCCAGGATCTCTGATGTTTCCTCCTGGTCTGGTTTCCATCTTTCGATGGTCTCCAAGGCCACGGCCAATGGTTTTCCAAAATGTCTTGCTTCAGATCTTTTATGGACAAACTCAAAGGCAGGGTTAGCTCCTCCGTCAGATGACGTGACGGAAAGAGATGATTCTGCCGGGCAAAGTAGTGATGAATCTGACGGGGCCAGGATGGGTCGACTATCACAACAACAGGGGCGGACTAATTGTCGCTTGCAGTTGATTCGATTCATCCCAAATACCAGTAATCAGCCACAAAATTTGGAGGCTTTCAGGCACCACCCAAAGGTGATCCCCCCAATAGATGATTAATTAGGCCCTCATTGGTGGTTGTTGGAAGTTAATACACCCTGAATAAAGTGTTATCATTGGGGGTGTCAGCTTTGAGGGGGGTCAGCTTTGAATCACATGAGGTGTCTGCAGCAGCTGCACAAACCAACCTATCATGCTGTCAATTTGCAAGAACTATGTCTTGAAAATCGGCGATCCCACGCTATCCATTGATTTATGATCAGTTTCCTATTAAAACTCTCATTCTATGATGCTTGAACCAAATTTTCAGAAGCCCCCCATTGTTTGCTGAAACGTTTTTTTGTGGGTTGAACCTCCATCCATGTGTTTGTTTTTCCGATGATTAAGACCCACCAACAAAAACCGCGACATGTGTCTAATACAAGGTTGTAAGGCACCAAACTGGTGGTTTCGACTCAAAGAACTGAGTAATGAACCAATCATGTAGTTTTAAGTTAAACATACATATGACATATGAATAGATGATTAAACAAACAATACCGTGTAAAATCAATAATCCATATTATGAATAAATTTAATTAAGCACATGATGAAATATATGAAATCTGAAACACCAGAACTTGCCAAAAATCTTCCCGATGGTCGTCTCCTTGGTGTTGTCATCATTTGCGAAGACTAATTTTACCTGCACCTGGAAGAGAGGTCCCATGGGAAACCGTTGGTGTCTAATATGTTTTAATTCGCTCTAGAATAACTGTTGGTTTGTAAATCGGGTTTTTTTAACGAACTAGTATGAACTAGTAAGAATTTGGGTTATTTTCACCAACATCTTTCACAAACATATATGGAAGTTTCCTAAAATGGGGGTACTCCTAAATCATCAATTGCAATGGTTTTTTCCATTGTAAACCAACCATTTTGGGGTTCCCCCATTTATGGAAACCCACATATACAAAAATGATATTTGGGGCCTTGACATGCCTTGACGATCTTGGGATCCAGTGGTCTGTATGATGGTGAAGTGAGTGTCACGTCGACATAGTGTGTCGGTGGTTAAGCCACCCCAACCCCCCAAGATCATATTTACCCTCTGGTAAACGTTTACATAGCTATGGAAAATCACCATTTTTAATGGGAAAATCCACTATAAATCAGCATTTTCAATAGCTTTTTGTATGTTTACCAGGCCGGGTAATGGTGATATGCAGGATCATCCCATACTGGTCGGGATTTGTCTTAAGAAACCCGTTTTTAAAACTAAAGAAACTAGAAAGAAGCAGATTCCTTGACATAAGTCTTAGCCGTAGTTTTAAAAAATGACATAAGCGAAACCAGCAAAAGAGATCAACAGAGGTTTCTTCAGCGTCATGAAACAGAAAACGACCCCGGAACGAGGAAAGAACCACACATGGATTGAATGTGCCATTTCTAGGTCACTTACTCCACAAGAAAAAACCGTTGCAGAGTGGTTGTCTGCCCAGGTAGACAGACACAGCCTCAAGGCGTATCCCAGTTCGACCCTCACATGAAATTCTCAACAACAAACCAAGCCTTATTGACAATGGTGCAAGCTAGTTGGCTTTAGACTATAGACATACCATAAACCAATAGAAACCACATAGTTCAGCTACTTATTTGCACTTATCTCTCTTTTGGGGGCCCATCTTGTAGATTGTTGGTGGTGGTTCGTGACGATCAAGGGGTCAGGGGTTCAGTTCGTGGCAACCAACGGCCCAAAGCACGGAAGCCTTAGTAGAGTCAGCTCCATTCTCCATGAACTTCGTGCCTAGGCGAAGTGAAGTTGGCAGTGCGATGGCAGTGCGATGTCCCGAGGAAATCCTCCACTTCGAAGAGTTTGTTGAATGGTTACCCGCTGGTAAACTAACAGTTTGCTCATTTAGTTAGTTGCTTTACCTATGAAAATGGTGATTTTCCATAGCTATGTTAGTTTACCAGGGGGTCATAATGGTTTGTAATGGTTAAGAATTGGCAACAATGGTAAACATGTTTTTTTTTTATATATAATGGCCAACAATGGTCAAATCATGGAACATAGAACATAAATGAACATAACCCTTCAACAAATCCAGGAATATGGGCAATACACTCTGAAGTTGGACGTTTTATCCAAGCCAATGTTTGAGGCTATCCAGTGTTAATTTCCTTTGCCCTCTGGTGGAATGGCTATGAAAACAGTGGGTCTAAAGCCAATGGATATTGGGATACAAAGATATTGGGATAGTTGCCCATTCCTAACCATTACAAACCATTATTACCTTCTGGTAAACTAACATAGCTATGGAAAATTGAGATACAATATGATACAATCAACTTGACACAAAATCAAGGACATGGAGACCCAATCATTCGCAGCTCAGATTAGCCCTGGACTTAGGAGACCGTTATTGATCAGCCAGTTGTTTCATGTTGTTTCGGTGTCAAAACATCACATCCTCATTCTATCCGACGGCTTAGAAATATTCATAAAAAAATATCATGTCATGTGCTGCTACTACTGAAAACAAAAAATATGGAACAAAATGCCGTTTGAGAGGTCCCCATTTTCACTCACAGCTGATGGCACGGAAATTCTTCAGGACCTACCCTCCGGAGTGGGGTGCGATTCCGGCACATTTTTCCCAGAAAGCTATGTTGAGATGCCAGGTTCAAAGCAGTTGCCGCTTGCCCTACTGTTTGCAGTCAGCACCTCCTTAATTCAACCATAAGCCGAATCATGTCCAGATTGCCTCCGTCTGCAACAACAGGCAACACTGATGCCCCAGAATTTGTGGGCTCCAACTTCCACCAAATGACGCACAATGTCACTAAGGCAGTTCTGAAGTACAATCAACCATGGTGTTCTTGCACCGCTCTTGACCAAATAACGGAGAACATCAAGATGGCCTTGTTGGGCTGCAATCAACAATGGCGTTGCACCGGTATTGAAGGCTTGTTCTTTGTCAGCACCAACTTCAACCAAATGACGGACAACATCAAGATGGCCGTTCTGAGCTGCGATGTACAATGGTGTTGCACCCTGATTGCTGGCTTGATCTTTGTCAGCACCAACTTCCACCAAATGACGGACAACATCAAGATGGCCTTGTTGGGCTGCGATGTACAATGGTGTTGCACCCTGATTGCTGGCTTGATCTTTGTCAGCACCAACTTCCACCAAATGACGGACAACATCAAGATGGCCTTTCTGAGCTGCAATGAACAATGGCGTCACACCCTGATTGCTGGCTTGATCTTTGTCGGCACCAACTTCCACCAAATGACAAACAACATCAAGATGGCCGTTCTGAGCTGCGATGTACAATGGTGTTGCACCCTGATTGTTGGCTCGATCTTTGTCAGCACCAACTTCCACCAAATGACGGACAACATCAAGATGGCCTTGTTGGGCTGCAACGAACAATGGTGTTGCACCCTGATTGTTGGCTTGATCTTTGTCAGCACCAACTTCCACTAAATGACGGACAACATCAAGATGGCCTTGATGGGCTGCAACGAACAATGGCGTCGCACCGCTATTGAGGGCCTGATCTTTGTCGGCACCAACTTCCACCAAATGACAGACAACATCAAGATGGCCTTCCCGAGCTGCGATGTACAATGGTGTTGCACCCTGATTGTTGGCTCGATCTTTGTCAGCACCAACTTCCACCAAATAACGGACAACATCAAGATGGCCGTTCTGAGCTGCGATGTACAATGGTGTTGCACCCTGATTGTTGGCTCGATCTTTGTCAGCACCAACTTCAACCAAATGACGGACAATATCAAGATGGCCTTTCTGAGCTGCAATGAACAATGGCGTTGCACCGCTATTGAGGGCTTGATCTTTGTCGGCACCAACTTCCACCAAATGACAAACAACATCAAGATGGCCGTTCTGAGCTGCGATGTACAATGGTGTTGCACCCTGATTGTTGGCTCGATCTTTGTCAGCACCAACTTCCATCAAATGACGGACAACATCAAAATGTCCCTGCTCAGCTGCCCAATGCAGTGGTGTCATCCTTTCATTTCCTCCACCTGGTGGGTTTTTTTCAGCACCCGCCTCAAACAGCAGCAGCAATGTTTCAACATGTCCGCTCCTGGCATCATAGTGCAATGGCGCGTAACCATGTTCATCCGTGACATTGGGATCGCAAGGGCTATTAAGGAACTTTTCCAGGGCGATCAAATCATTGTCCATAGATGCAGAGATCACTTGTTGGTTTCGTTGGACATCAGCATAAAAGTCCAAGACCACCATCTGAAGCTTCACTGGAGCGGAAGCAAAAGCCTCATCATCCGGGATCTCAGAACCATCTTTGGAGTAAAGTCGTTGTCTGAATCGAGTGACACCAATCTGAGCTGCCAATGCTTGCTTCACAGCCTTTGCAGTTTTTCCTTCGAATTCATCCGGGGCAAGGGTTGCCCGAGTCTCACCTGACAGGAAACACACCTCCATGAGGCGGCATTGGCGGTTAGATGCAAACAACCTGTAGTGCGTGACATGTTCAAATGTGTAAGATGTTTTCAGGTAACTGAAGAAAGATCTGATGAAACACAGCACAAACTACTCCAATATTTCAAATATTCTGCTTGCATAATTTCTTGCCATCAACGAACGCACCATAGGTAAGAAACATCAATGGCATGACAATTTTCTACCCAAACAGTCTGAGCCCAAAAAAGGGGGGTCATGATGTCATGAATACGCGTAGAGTTATGCAAGTAGTTCTAGATTGCCATTTACAAATAACAATCCCACCATATCCCACCCATGTTAGCTGCCAATGGCTACCAAATATACTTTCTACACCACGCATTCTCCACAGTATGAAGTATTTTGATATATTTTGATCAAGTGTGATGGATCAAAGCCCATGATACCATTGCAAGGATGAACATCTATGAGCAACCAGCTATTTTGATGTCAAAGATAGGGTCCCTAGGCTTTGACCCAAACCCCACCCCTGTGTTGGACCTAGCTGCGTGTCTCTGGAGGACTGAGAAATATACTTTCCACGGTATGATTAGCCTGTGGTAATTGAACAGTTTGCTACGGTTTAGTTTAGATGGCCCATTTAGTTCGTTGATTTACCTATTCAAAGTGGTGATTTTCAATAGTTATGTTAGTTTACCAGAGAGTATTGACAATGTGTTTGGTTCCAGTATTAAGTCATTCTTCGAATTGACCAGCCATAAAATGCTGCTACATCCCCATGCCAATGCCAATCACATGGGTGCCAATGGTGTTTTCAACCCAGCTATGCGGTCATATCCGGGCATTCTCTGAAATTTCCAGACCCATGGCACGTGCCTGACAATATTCTGGTTGGTGGTATACCTACCTCTCTGAAAAATATAAGTTCGTCAATGGGAAGGATGACATCCCATATATGAAATGGAAAATAAACTTCATGTTTGAAACCACCAACCAGATATAGATAATGGGAGATCACCATGCTATTAATGGGTAAATCCACTATTTCTATGGTGATTTTCCACTAACATTTTTCAGATCCCAGAATGATGAGTTTTTCATGAGGCGATGATCCATGAGACTTTGGACCAATCTTGAGATGAACGTTACTCGCAGTACTCAAACAAACTCCGTGAAAATCACTTCCTAATGTCACCAAATGCTTGGCCGACATGATCCAAACAAAATATGTGGAACAGTATATGCCCTCCTCTTCAACTTCTTTCCAATAATTAAAAACGATGTTGGATCTGAATCCTTGGATGTTTATCACCTAATATGTTTCTAAATCACCTGCCAGAAAAGGTACTAATATCATCTATGACTCACATCTTAGTCAAGTCTTAAAGTCGTATATTATAGGAGCATCCTCCAGTACTCATGGCAATACATATATATAGCGGGAGGGTTCGTACGTACAGACCTTGCAGGAGCACCCTATTGATTTCACGGTGACGCCTGATGAGAATTTCCGTCGACTTGCACAGGACATGATTGTGTCTGACATGGGACACTATGCTGGTCCGGATTTCGCCACATAGAGGCTTTGTCACCATTTTCCAGAATTTATGCTAGGCCGCAGCTTACGCTCCTTTGGGCCTTGAGGGAAAAAAAAAAATATATATATGCACTCATCGTATAGATACAGGACGGGGCTCCCTAGTTGGCTGACTTAGTTTATGACTAGGCTAACTCGAATTTATCGTGGATACAAATTGATACATCATATCTGTAGTTAGAGTAAGACGGGGCTGGTTTTTATGTTATAATTTGCCCCGTTCCTGCGGCTTTCCATCACTTTCAAGTGGGAAATCAGCGATGTTCCATGGATTGACGTTGCTGGTTATTATATGTTATCATATGTTATTATCCTTTTTGCTGGTCGCAGTGCCTCTTTTCGGTCATAATGTTTCCCATTGAACATAGGACAACCCCAAACCGTTTGGATCTAAATCTTGAGTTCCCAAAGATCTACCCTCTGGTAAACATACACAAAACTATGGAAAATCACCACCTTGAACAGGTAAATCAACGATTTCTATGGCCATTTTCAATAGCTTCAATAGCTATGTTAGTTTACCAGAGGGTAAGTATTTTCTGAACCTGGATCTGACCAAAGGTGTCAAGGCAGCTGTTTTTGACCCGACATTGTCGGGCACTGTGCTTCCAACCCTTTTGTGAAAAACCACACCATCCCGATCCCAGAGATTATAGTTGTTATGGCTATATAACATTATATGACATATTCAGCTCATTTTCTGGCTGATCATTGCTCCAAAATTATACCATGTATAAGGCTGAGGTATACACGTATACACCCTCTCGTAAGCTATATAATATAGCTATTGAAAAACACGGATTTGAAAAGCCAAATCATCCATTTTCCATTTCTAAGTTATGTTAATTTACGAACTGTTAATTTGAAGAGTACCATGAGTTGCATCTAATTTCAATGCTAGTAAAGCCATGTCATAAACCACCCATATAGACTCCATCCTATCCCCCATCCGCCCAACCGGGGCAGCCAAACCCAATCTGACAGGCCGAACCCATAGAGACGTTTCTGTGTTTCATAGCAGCGGTGCATGGAAAAAAAACATGGAGAAACATTACCCGGCCTGGTAAACATACAAAAAGCTATTGAAAATGGCCATAGAAATAGTGGATTTACCCATTAAAAATTGTGATTTTCCATAGCTATGTTAAATTACCAAAGGGTAAGATCTGTTTCTCATTAAGATCCACAATCATTAGACAATCATTGTAATCCAACTTTGCCAGAGGGCCCAAGTGACTTTGTTAAAACATTCAGATCCACAATCATTGTAAAATACATGGCAAAGCTTCAACAAAAAATACAGAGGCCCAAGATCCTGCAAATTGTGGAGAATATGTGTTCAATCTTCGGACAAAATCATCATAACAATACACGAAACTGAAATATGGCGATGTTCAAATGGTTCCCTATACTACCTCTCAATTCCAGCGAGGTCGCAGCCAGGTTCTTGTAATTTATTAAGATATATGTCATCTATATGTAATCTAATCCCATAAAATCCTCCATCATATGAAGATTTCCTAAAATGGGGTTCCCGCCCCAGTTCTCATCCAGCTATTAGATTGTGATTTTTCAGGAACCACCTGGAGTCCTCCATGAATCACTTCCCTGGGATCCCCTCATACTTCAACATATTTCAACTATGAAAAATCGACCTAAATTACCACTGATCTATGATCTATGGTTACGTATGGTTATAGATTCCCCTGGAAATGTAGCCATAACATGCCATAACTATGGAAACAAATCACCACTAAGAAGGCGAAATCAATGGTAGATCATCGAACTTTTTGTGCGCCATGGCTTCCGTAGAGATTCAGGAGGCCGGGTGTTTTTTTGGTTGCCACCATTTCCTGATCCATGTTCAACCTTCAAAAAATCAGATATGTACCCTCTGGTAAACTAACATAGCTATGGCTATGGAAAACCACCATTTTCAATGGGTAAATCCACTATTTCTATGGCAATTGTCCATCGCAAAATGTTAGTTTACCAAAGGATATATAAGAGTTTAGTTTTTTCTATGAATTTCAGATATTTGCCAAAAATATCCACTCAGATCTTCCCACTTTTTTTGGGTCCAGAACGGTCAAGTTGAATACTTTGAATCCAGGCTGTATCCACATACTGTCCCCCAAAAAAAACACCAGTGTTGTTGGTTGAGTCACTATCTTTGAGGGAGTCAAATCCGATAATCCCAAATTTTCCAAATGGCCAATTGTTCATTTTCAGGAATGGCATTACTGAAAAACTTGATATTTGTGAATTGTGTAACGTTTGGCTTCAATATCTAACCGTTTCTTTGCAAGAGACTAATTTCATTGCACCCATTTATTATATGATTTCATAAGCATTCTTGTCGGTTGATCACCATTTTTGCTGGTTAAATCACCTTCTATACCATCTGGTTATTTCACATAGCCATGGAAAATCACCATGCTATTAATAGGTAAACCATCTATTTCTATGGGCCATGGCTTCCATGGCTATGTTAAATAACCAGAGGGTACCATTCTGGGCGTCAAGATTTTGGGCACCAACCACCACCCAGCGGCGCTGCTCCGTTTTTTTTGGCACTGCAGCCAAAAAGAGCTGCTGGGTATCACTACCCAGCGGTTCATTTGCGGCCACGGCCCGTGGGCACGCAGCAGTGGAGCCTGACATTGGCGCAATGGGGAGAAGTTGGGGATTTACCATGGAGCAAATGGATGAACATATTTCTAAACCATGGAAATGGACGACCAGGTTTAAGCATTGAATATGATGGTTTCATGGTGATTTTTAGTGGGTTCTAATGGGATATTACCATCCCAACTAACACAGACCCTGAGAACCACCAATCTTTAGAGGACAGTAATCTTTCCAGCCCGGCTGTTGGCAGTGTGTTGTATATTAGTTGGAGAGGGGATAACCAAGAAGACGACAGCCGGATTGCCCCATTGCTCCCCTCAACGAATCTGGATAGAAACTGCAAGGGAACTACTGTATCTAAGTAACGACAAGTGCAAAACATTGCATGCATAAAATCACCGTCCATGTTTGCATGATATATTATATAATATTATATAATATATAGTACGTAAGACCTTGTAAGAGCAACATCAACTTTCCGAATTTTTCACCAGTGATTGGTCACTGCCAAAGGGGTCAGCAAGATTTGTGAACCATAAGGCGCCTCCACATCTAGTGTAATCCAGCAAAGCCAGCTCCTTGGCAGGGTCATAATCACTGGCAGGGGGAAGATCTTAGAAAAATAGGGGGTTGGGATACCCCAAGAGCAACCCATCCAAGATTTCGTCAATGGCAGAGTTTCTGATGGGTTTCTACTATTTCTCACATGATATTGGGGGGTTTCCTGAAATGGGAGTATCCATGGTATCCCTAAATCATCCATTTGAATGGGATGTTCCATTAAACATCCCTAAATCATTCATGTGAATAAAACACATCCATGAAATAAACCATCCATCCAGCTCTGGGGGGTACCCAGTTATGCGCTAAATTCTTCACCATCCGGCATCGCATCACTGACCAGTCTCTTTTTGGCCATCCTCCTGTGGTTAGAAATTTAATCATCTTTAACTCCCCAAGCGAGTTAAGAATCATATAAAAGTATATGAATATGGTTAACCATGTTAGTTCTTAACACATATATATATATATATCATATATCTTATGTTCATGTTAAGATTGTGTATAGTTGTTCAATGTATAATCATTATCATGTATATTGACCATGGTTAGAGTATGTTAGAAAAATCACTCCCCAGGTTTGAGGAGATTACAAGGTAGGGCCCCTACCTTAGTAGCCAAGTTGGTTTCTAAGTTCAATAGCCAGGTTTTATGAACTATATATCTGTAATATTCTATGATCAATCGGGTGGAACTAACGAGTACACACCAACAAACTGATAATTATATTGCAAACTGATGCACATTGTATGAAATAATCATGATCTACAATATTCCATAACATTCTGGATTTTATAGGTATAAATCTATCAACTAATGAACAACTGTTTGATTCCAGACAAACATCTAGGAATGGATCAATCTGTGAGACCCAGCAAAACTATAGATGTTAGATGATGTTAGTATCTTTCAGTTTTTTTACTATTAACATCTATAGTTAACTATCCATTTCTAGATGTTAATAGATGTTAGTTAAAACTATAAATGTTAATATATGTACAGTATTAAGACTGATTGGTGGTATACCTACCCGTCCGAAAAATAATAGTCAGTTGGGGTTACTATTCCCAATATATGGAAAAATAAAACATGTTCGCTGCAACCCCTCAGTGAGCCCGCGGCCAATCCCGCATATCCTTTGACATGCTCAAATCCCTGCGCAGGGTTAGAGTTTTTTTTACTTTCCAAAACAACAAACACGGTAAACCCTAAAACCTAAAACCCTAAACCCTAAATTGAAACCCTAAATCATGAGAACTTGAGGTCAAAATCACTGCGTATAGCCAGTGTTTTCATTGATCCTCTGGTGATAAGTATATCATATTGTTTGGATGTGTTGTTGTTTCCAGTGGGCGAACTAATTAGGGGGGTGCAGGGAACATGTTCAACATGTTCCAAACCACCAACCAGATGTATTAACCATCCACTTCTAGATGTTAGTAGATGTTAGTTAAACCTATAAATGTTAATATATGTACAGTATTAACCAGATATTAATGTATTAAATCCACTATAAATGGTGATTTTCCACTATAAACCAGTATTAACATGTATTAAACATCCACTTCTTGGGGCTGTTGACCCATCGCCTCGCCGTTGTCTCCCAGGCGCTGGGCAGATGCCCTTGCTGCGTGCGGTTGTCGCCCGTGGCGCTGCGGATCATGGAGAAGGACTGACGCATCCGTTGACGCCGAAGCGTGGCTTCGAAGATTTCATGGTGATTTCACTGGGAAGCATAGGGAGATATATCTGGGTAATAGAAATAGTGGATTTTCCCATTCAAAATGGTGATTTTCAATAGCTATGTTAAATTACCAGAGGGTAAATTATAATATTTCACTAACCTGAATTAAGGCCATTTGGGGATGATTTCCCTTACTAGCCATGATTCCAGGGCTCGGTCGCAGTGAGGTCGTGATGAAATTTACCCAGATATATAGTTTTGTATACTGGGATATCATGAAACATATACTTGGATATCAACTTGACATACGGAAAATCATTGACCATTCTTGAACTTAGTAACCAGTTGGGATTATCATAACAAATAGGGTTGAAAATAACATGTTTGACAACGCCAACCGAGGGTGAATTTCATCCACTTTGCGGATGGGCATATTTTTTTTGGTAGAACTAATTGGTCACTTGTGGGGGTAATTTTGACAATATACTCCTATATACAAATTATATATCTGGTTGGTGGTATACCTACCCCTCTGAAAAATATTAGTCAGTTGGGATTATTATTCCCAATATATGGAAAAATAAAACATGGTCCAAACCACCAACCAGATATAATCTCCGATAAATGTCATGTGTGGGCACAATTCACTTCAGTTTAACCAATTGAATCGGAGAGTTGACCGACTCTGGGATTCAACCAAGGCTGCCAAGAGTTAGAGGATCACAACAGGGTTCCAGATATGAGACATTGGGATGGCCTTTTCACAGATGCAGATTAAATATGATTCAATGACATCTTCACCCTCTAATCAAACCTGGCTAGCTGGATTTTTCCCCCTATTTACAGATGAGTTTTCCATTTTTTATTCCTGTCGAGGTGATGTTCCATGTTTTTGTTCCCCACATTTCAACGCCTTCATTTGGGGATATGTGTGTAAGGTCAGGGATTAAGACCCATCTCGCCCAGCAGCTTTGGCCTACCTTTAAAGATCCTTTCAGAATGATGGCTATATCATGGTTGTGTAATGGCCATATCATGGTTGTTTTTTTGCTGGCTATACCATGGCTAAATCATCACTAGTTTATTGATGTTTATGATTCAATTGTTACTGGGGAGTTTCTTGCTTTGGGGAATATTATGCCCAAAAAGAGGCATGTCGAACCGTGCGTTGCTGGAGCTCGACGTGACCATGGCGTGCTCCAAGGCTGAGGTGTGCCGTACTCTTTCTGATCAAAATGGCCCACTTAGTTTGATGATTTACCTATTCAAAATCGTGACTTTCCATCATTTCCCATACTTTTTGTTAGATTTCCCTAGTCAAAATCATTATTTTCCGTAAGTTCCATACTTTCCCATTCTTTTAAAAATAGGTATCATCTTCAAAACAACCACCCCTTTTCAAAAACGCCCGCTCATCCCCTACATATCCCCTACATCCAGCCTTCGCTTCCACATCGTTGTGGGCGCTAAATCCTGATCCACCAGTCGTGAGCTTCAGGATGTCCTCAGTCGCGAAGCGCATGGAAAGCCATGGGCCATGGATTTTGCACCCAAAAAATAGGGATTCACCCAGCAAAAATAGGCCACGGCCATGTCGTGAGCTTTCCGGATGTCCATGAATTTCCACCATCCCCAAGTTATAAGTTGGCCATCCATTTTTATGGGTGAGATTCGAACCATCCATTTATGATGGGTTTATGATAGGTTTATGATGGGTTTATGATGGGTTTATGACATTGCTTTACTAAGATTTCATGATATAATAAAGGGATAGTCATGGAATCTTCATCGAATGTTGCATCTTACCCTCCGGGAATCGAATATGTTTGGCTGGGAAATCCCCGAACTAAGCTTAGCTTTCCGTGTACTAACTAAATGGTTCAGTGTCCATTTTCACGTGAATAATTACCCAAGAATCAATGGGGGTGCAGCTGGGGTGGAAAGATGGGTATAGCTATGGGATTCAAACCACAATAATTGGGATATAACTCCATGATATAAGCCCTACAACTCTTGGTGAAACTGCATCCTCAAGTTAAGTATCAATCCGTAAGTTACTATCAGTTTCTAAAGGGTACACTTTCTCGTCAGATGCGGCCTCCTCACCTTTCAGCTTCTTTCCAGTCACCTGAGCCAAGCGACAGCTGCTTTTTCTGTAGCACCCCAGCAACAAAGAAAAAGGATAGCAGAAACCAGCAAAAAAACATGGTGCCTTACAGCACTTTCTATATATATATATATTTTGTGAGACGACTGTACATCATTGTACATCCCCCTAAATCCTAAGCCCCTTTGAAGTGGGGCGCAAGAAATCAGCTACAGAGTGTCACCATCTTGTTCCAAAATATATCACTTCAACTGAGGATTCACAGGACTGAAAAACACATGGTTCCATAGCATGTTTTTTCACCATCAGATCCTACCCGAACGCTTCAACAACTGGACCCAAAAAAACCACAGAAAACATCGTAAGGATGGGATCATGGGGGAGATTTTATGTGGATTTTTGCTGGGAAGATCCTCTGGTTTAGCCCAACATAACTACTGGAAATTGATGAAAATTGCCAATTGAGTTCCGATGATGTACCTAGTTAAAAGGGTGATTTTCCAGTTTGCTCTGTTAGTATATGTTAGTTTACCAGAGTGTATATGGAGGTTTCCTAAAATGGGGGCACCCCCAAATCATCCAAGACCCATGGTGACTTGGGGATCCACCAAATGTGATAACGATATAGTATAATGATACCTTTCTGACTGTTACCCCCCGGTAAAACATAGCAATTGGACATCCCCACACCAATTGAAGGCTTAGTTCGCTGGTAACATCAACAATAAAATGAATGATTTTCCAGCAAGCCACGAAGCTGCTTTCTGGAGGGTATTTGCAAATGGTTTGTAATCTCACTTCCTCATGCTATGGTGATATATGATGATACCTTTATGTTCATCTATCATGAATAAACGTGGGATATGATTATACCACTATATTTATTCATATATATCTATATAGTATATACATTAATATTTGTTCCCATTAATATATTTATTCATAGATATGCCACTATATTTATTCATATTATCCATATATATATATATATTGTAAGTGGGGTAGCTCCACTGTCTTCAACTCCGGCTCCACCTGAAGCGCTCAGCCTTTTCTCCACTGCCAGCTGAGATTCGGATGTTGTATGCCCTTTGGTTGGACGGCCTCGTCCACGTTGTTTGGTGTCGCGACCCTGTCGCGGTTGTAGACCACTATGGCTGAAGACACAAGAAAGTAAACCCTCACCGCCCACCTCAGGGCTCGCCTGAGCCACGTGTCTGGCGAATATTGGCTGATGTCTGTGGACCTCCAGTGGTGGCAAGATTATGGGATCCCTTTCTGGATTAAGGTGGTTTATTAACAGGGTTATTCTTATCATCAGTTACTGGTTTGAGAATCACACTCCCAAATTTTATTTTTCTGATTTTGTTGTTGCTTGCTGATGATCTTGGTCTTTCAGCCATCGAATTCTGTCTTTGGTCTTGGCTCTTTCCTTGAGAATTGCTGATTCGTCACTGAGTTTGTAACTGCCTAATCTTAAGGTCTCACGAAGAAAATAGCTTTCCATTGCTTTGGTTAAACTGTCAGCCAACTGAGCACCTGAGTGGACCCAACGTAATTGAATCCCTTCAAGAAGGGCTTCTTTCACTGCACGTGCAGCTAATTGGACCCTGAACTCAGCACAAGATGGTGGTGCTGTTCTTGTCGTGAGATCAAATAGGCTTTTGCAGTCTGTGATTGCAAAGTCGGCATGTTCTCTGAAAGTGGCGGTGGTAATGGCTGGCGCAATTTTCATGAGTGCGGTTTCTGGTTCCTTCCAATTTGTTTTGGGCTCATGGATCCAGGACCAGAAAAGTCTCAACCAAGCTAGTTGATCTACTGCTGATGCTAAAGCCGTGGTCTCTGCTGCTAAGGTGCTTGTCACAACACGCTGAATCTTTTTACAACCCCAAGAAATGGGACTGATGGGACATTGTTTGTTCAGAGCTACATCCTTGTGTGTACCAACTATGATTAAACCAGCATGGGAGTCGGGCTTTTTGGCTGAAGAAAATGATGCATCACTGAATGCCATGAATCGGAAATCTGCTATTGGAATGGGTTTGATCACTATCGCAACATCATGGTGTTTCTTGGCTTCATGGAGGAGTCGATTGGCTTCATGGAGTGTTTCAACTTTGGCGGTGTTGATGGAGGACTGTAGAAATGATAATTTGCTGGCAATGTCTGGACGGGTATTGGTTGCTGCGTACTGGAGGCTTCCCACTATTCCCCTTAGTGCTAATCTTTCCTTTTCGGTCACAAGTGATTCATGTTGGGTCTTTCGATTACAGTCCAGGGAAATGGGATTGATTTTCTTGATGTACTGTCCTTGACTCAAGTGGATACTGTTATCCCCTCTTTGAGTAACTTCTACCCCAGTGAAAGTAAAGGCATTGGTTTTGTGGGACCCAAATTTGAACTTTTTCTCGAGCTCCTTGATCTTCTCCTCATATAAAGCATTACCCCCTCCAATCCCATCGTCAACATGGACTCCGAGAATGCCAGCGATTTTGCCAGCTTGGCTGCTGGTGGCTGGTTCCCTCAAGACAAACAGGCATGGATCAAATGGTGATGCTTCGAACCCCAGCTTGGTTAACTCGGTGACAAGAGAACAAAACCATAAAAATGGTGCATCTACTAAACCATATGCACTCTTGTTCAGCTTAGCAACATGTTGGGGACCAAGGTTCATGATTTGTCTGAGCTCTGGGACGGGATCCACAGCCATTATACGGTCAGACTGAGGCTGACCTTGAAGGAAAGCGGCCTTCACATCAAAGGATTGAAGTTGCCATCCACAACTGGCTATGACCTGGAGAAGAATCATTCTCGACGTACGATTCAAGGTAGGGGAGTCCCTGGGAATTTCTTCCAAGTTTGGATCAAGGTACCCCAATACCACTAGTCGGGCCTTGGCTTTATGGGTTTTGACAGGTTTTTGGGTCACATTACCATGATCGTCACCTACATTATCCAGGGGTTTCCAAGTCAATATCCAGCGGCAACGGAGAATTTGATCCTCAGGGATCTGGTTTCGGAGCACCTTGGAGACGGTACCGGTCTGAACCCAGCTCTGAACTTCTGCCATTTTGGCCTTTTGGAATTCTGCCTTTTCTTCAGGTGACAATTCTGTCAAACGAACTTCAGAGCGTTGTTTCTTGGCATTTGTTGCCAACAGGGTCCATGCTTCTTCTTGGTTCTCAGGCAACCCTTGGTGGTCTGAGAGGGGAACGTCGAATTCACAACGCCATGCAGCGTCCTGGCTTTCTACTGCTGAAAGGCATCAATCTACATCGACGCATGTCAGGGTGTCGGTGTTTGGTGATTGTTCCGGATGGTCCATCAGTTCTGGCATGGCAGATCCCTGTCGGGAGAGATCTGGTTCTTGATCTGGTTGTGGCAGTGATTGTGGTGAATTGGGGTTACCATTATGATCTTCACTCATGACTTCAGGATCTGGTAGATTACGGTTATCATGGTGATTCTGGTTATCAGGGTTATTTTCATGGCTATTGTCAGTGGGAATTTCAACCATTTCTGTGATGGGACCAGGTGATCTTCGGTTATTGAGATTGGTGATCTGTTGTCCAAGTTCCGTCAGGTTGTCGGGCCATGTTTCAGGACATTCCGGCATCTCTTGGCTCAGCACAGGTCGCACATGCTCAGGGGCACTGCGGTAAAGCTTGGCACATTGGGTGGTCCAAACAGTGTGGTGACCGTCCTGTATAATGACCCTCTGAGGTCCGATCCAACCAGACTTTTGTGGAGGTTCTCCACGCCAAATCATTACCCATTGTCCCTTCTCATACATGCCCCTGTGAGGGCAGGCCTTGCGAAGGATGGCACGGCGAAGGCTGTCATTGTTGTCGGCGTCATGGAATGCTTTCCTTGCGCTTTCTCTGATCTTCAGTAGATTTTTGAACTCCAACACACCAATATGATGATCTTCTTGAGAGGCCATTTCATGGGATGGAACTGATTCATCACTTAATATGGATCCGGGAATTCTGGAGTGCTTTCCAAATACGATTATCTCTGGTGCATATCCATGTCTGATGCTCAAGCTATTCTTTGCATGGGTACTTTGGCTGAGAGCAAGTTGGAGTGCCTGATAATCGTTAATGGGATGTTCAAGGTCAATTTTGGTGAGCATGTGTTGTAGAAACTTTCCATGACGTTCCACCTTACCATTCTGCCAGTGGGCCATTGGACATGTCGTGCTTCCCTTAATGCCAAAACGCTGGAGGAAGGCTGCAAATTCTTCACTGTTCAGTTCAGTGCCTGAATCCACCTGAAGCTCAGTCGGTGGACCTGCCCAACTCAATCCAGTGCTGGCTGATGATATTTAGGATATCCTGAGTGGTCTTGGCTGGAGTGGCTATGGCAACATGAAAATTTGAACCGGCATCTACAATGTGATAAAATTGGAGGGATTTACCTTGGGAATTTGTCCAGTTTACCCCATCTATATAGATCCGATGATTGAAATCCAGCATTGGTTTCAATGCGGCTGGCCGTTGATGCTTTGGTGGTGAGCACCTGGCGCATACTTGGCATTTAAGCTCCAGGGCAGCTTGTGAGACATCTGGCCGATATCCTGCTGTTTGCAACGCTCTAGATAATCTGTCATTGGAGGGGTGTCCAAGATTCTTGTGCATATGGATTATCTGCTGTTGTTCCCACTTTGGCAAACTGCGAAAGCGGAGGGTCTGATCCATGAGTCTAGTCTGCATTTGATCGACAGGTGTCTCAGGGTCAGAGGCTTTTACCTCTGTCGTGGTGTCTGACGCTGGCCTGTCACTTTCGGGAACCGGTGGGTTTTCATGCAAAACAGCTGGGCTTACTTGAGACTGTGGCATGGGAACATTCTCTGGCAACGGACTGGAGCTGGAAGCACTGGCTGTTGGATCTTTGGCAAACACGGTGATGTTAATACGACATGGGTGAGCTGGCCTTACTATAGTTGTCTATTCGATAAGGAGGTCCATCTTTCCCAATACCGTTCAAACTTGATGTCCTGTGATCCCCGGTGCAGCATGATG